TTATCCACCATGGTGGAACCGGCGCTCACCGTCCTACCTCTTGGCCTTGTACTTCTTCTCAAACTCGTCTCGCTCTTGCTGCTTGCGCGTCTCCTCCAGCTTGCGCATCAGCTCCTTTCGCTTCCTCGCGGCCTTTTCCTCATCGGTGCCGCTGTATGCTCCGGTATAATTTGTAATTTGGTCAGACATGCCCTTCTTCATGTCGGTGAGGCTGGATTCCAGACGTTCCCGGAGGCCAGGCTCGGGGGTGTTGGCCGCCGCGCGCGGGGCCTCATAGGTCGTTTTGTTGGAGGTGGGTGAGGTCGCGGCCGGGTGGGGGGGCAAGCCGACGGTCCGTCGGGCGAGGGCGTTGTTGAGGACCACGGCGGTGAGGAGGGTGGACGCGCCGAGGGCAACGGTCATGAGATTGACGGCGGCGGAGAGGAAAGTAGTGCAGACGAAGCCGACCACGCCGAAGACGTACGTCATTGTTTTGAGCATCTTCTTCTGCGACTCGGGCGTGTACTTGGCGTTGATCTGCACGGATTAGCCGGCGGACAGGGGGAGGAGGAGGGGGAGGAGGACACAAGGGAGGGGACAACGCACGGCTAGAGCCCCAACCATGAGAGCGGTGCCGGCGGCAGGGAGGATAAAGTACGGATCGGTGGCCGTCAGGTCTGTGAACCACAGGTATCCGGCCGTCTCCATGGCCGGCACGGGGACGTTGGCCATGCCGCTGATTATTCGGAACAGCCCGAAGGTGAAGGGGATCTGGCCAAAGGACCACAGCATGCCCCAGTTGCTGACGCCGTACTGCTCCTTGAGCATCTTGTTGAGGTACTGGCCCCTCTGGCGCATCTCGTTGTCCTGGTTTGCGAAGCCCTGCTGGACGAGCTTCATGGCTTCCTGGGACCGGGGGTCCTTGCGCAGGTTCTGCATGACGGCGTTGAACTTGAGACTGCGGATCTGCGGGTAGAACATGGCGCAGCGGAGGAGGACGGCCGTCGCGACAATGGAGGCCCCCCATCCGAGGCCGCTGTACATGTGGACGTGCTCGAGGACCCATTGCATGACGGACGTGGGGCCGGTGCCGAAATCGAGGCCCAGAGCCTTGAGGTATCCGATGTGTTCGGACATGTTGAGAATGTCCCGCCCGTTGACGATGTCGGAGATGGAGGAGAGGTCAACTTCTGACGCTGGCACGGCGGGCTCGGTGGGCGGCGAGGGCACCGTGTTCTCGGCGGTTGGGTCTACGGGGCGGACGGCCTCGGGTGTCGCTGTGGTTGTCTCGGCCCTTGAGGCCGCGGGCGCTTCCTCGGGCGCCTTTTTCTTGCCATAGCCCCAGAGTGAGAAGTGCCGAGGGGAAGATACATGCCCGAGCGTGATGGGCGCGGCGGTAGCTCGCGCTCGGAACGGCGATGCTGTCAGGCTTGACGGGCCGGATTGTGGGAATATCGACCCGAATCGGCGGGCGTTGCCAAGTCTTTGTGAGAGGGCGCTTGGGGGGTTCTAGTCCAACTTTGTCAGTGTTCTGGCCTTGAAGCAAAGCTGTACCCAGGTATATGAGAGCACTCGGAGTTGGATATACTAAGAGGGGGTTCCTTACCGCCCATCTGCTCTGGAGTTGCCTCCGCGCCCCCATTGAGGGTGCAGAGCGCGCAATGGCTTGGCCGGGAAGCATCGCGGCGTCGGGATGACGGTGGTGATGGGTAATTCCAGTACGCGATCTTTCCGTGGCCGTCTCGCTGGTGGTTCAGTCGGACAATTTTTTTGGGGCGCCGAGCGGGTAATTGTCGGGCGTTCCTGACGCTGGCGGATGGCCGCTGTTGTCGCAGGTACTTAGCCACGCAAGCGCACGGAATTAGGATAATGCGCACATAAAGCCCTTTTTATAGAGCATATATAATTCTCTCTTTAATAGCTTAAGTAAGGCTTTTTAGTATTATCTATATAATATCCAGCTTTACTGCCTCTACTATTATATGATAGTTATAACCTAAGAGGTTTTATTTAACTTCTATAACTTCTATTAATATATATCACTCCTGCTATCGTGTGACAGCTGTCTGTTATCGATAAAGTCTCACCACAGGGACTTGGGCATGTTGGCTGGTGTTGGAAGGGGTTTACTGAAATAAAATTTGACTTTGACAAGGTGAATAGGATCGTGTTGCTTCCTAGAGGGCATCCATAGAGGCAACGATTGGCTCGCAACAAGATGTTTGCAGAATTGAGAGACAAAAGTCTTTGACATCACATCTCGCAGTTGGTTTAGTATAGTGAGGCTTGCATCTCCAAGGACAGGTCTCAGCCGGCAGATATATACACGCAATCATCTTCGACACTCCTCGTACGCCTTGGCATATTGTGCCTTGTAATTAGCCCAGATGAGTCCAACAAGTGAAGCAATGCCCCCAAAGGTCTTTGCTAGAACGCTGCTCGCCGGTCTTGGTAATCTATAGACGCAGCAAAGGTGCAGCCGGTGGATACCAACGCCATACGAGACTCGGAATTCTCCCAGTCATGCTGATAACTGAGGAAACTACGCTATTCCAAGCTCGCCAAGTCGTCCAGTGAAGGGCCTGGTTCTCGTCGTCGCTCTCGCACCTCAATACCGGGACCGATCGGGTGCGCCCGTCTTCGTGACAAGGGAAAGACCTAGAGCATTTTGATTAGCTCCAGATTGGAAATATGATGACATTGACTTGGTCAATGGGAGCAAAACATGTGCCTCTTTGTATGGCAAATGCATCATCAGTACAAAGGGCCGCAAAAAAACACACACCTTTGTGCCTCCCCAGCCCAATCTAAAAGCAGCCTCATGAGCGAACAACTCTCCGAACCCTAGCATCATGCCATTGATAAATGGAAGGAGCAGGTTAATGGCGGCGCCTCGTATTAATGACCAAACAGTGGGCGGCTTATAGAGAATGATGGGAGAGCCTGAGCTCGCAGGTGACGTAGAGAGCTCCTCGCCTGGGGAGTACTGTTCGCTGTCCGAGTGTATGGTAATGCCGGACTCGGCGAGATGACTTGACGCCTCTTCCGAAGCCATTGGAAACCTGACCTATATCCGTGGAAACTTCTGTCGGCGTGCCGCTGGCAGTGCTCGTTGAGGCGCGGGCCGCAGCTGGGAACGCCTAGCAAGCCGAAAGTGCGCGGTGTCGTCTACTTTGAAGCACGACTACAGAGGAGGATCATCGAGTAGTTACGGAGTGCAGCTGGAGAAACGGTCGAGTGACTAAGCAGAGGAGCTCCGCGACTGGTCAAGTGCCAGTGCGCACATGTGGGGTCGCGCCACTTGGAAACGGACTTCTGGAGCTTCTTTCAAGTACGCGGGACAAGGTCTGGAAGTCATGACGAGGTTTCGGCTGCCTGCCGCCCATAGACATACAACTTGCCTCTGTCATCATTCATCATCCTTCCCACGAGCTGTCTCGGAAGACAGCCTCTGCTACCGATATATTGACCTAGTTGTTTTCCAAGCCGAGTTTTGGCCATAAGCTGTCCCGTAATTTTGTCCGTCACCTCGCAACGCCTTTTTTGATTCTTCGATCCATCTGTTGATCTGCCCCGCGCTCCAGGCAACGCCGTATAATCATGGCCGACAACCAAGACACTCCCAACCGGGAGAAGCTTGTGCAAGAGTTCACCGCCATGTGCAACTGCAGTCCGGACGAAGTATGGCACCTGCAGTAAACCCCTCAAGTCTCAGAATGGCGACCTAACATCTTCAGCAGGCAACACAGTACCTCGACGCCCATCAATGGGATCTTCCGGCCGCTTGTAACAGCTTTTTCCAGGACGACGACGAAGCGAGACTGCAAAGCGGATCAGGCGATTCAAGACCCGAGCCCTCGTATACTGGGCCACGGACGCTTGATGGACGACCTGCTCCCGCAGACACCTCATCTGGTCGAGGAGGCCGTCCGCCTACGTCACAGCCCAAGAGGAGGGGCGTTGCGACGCTAGGGTCACTTGGAGGAGCTTCCCATTCCCATGACGATGGCGACGATGACGACGACGACGATGAGGACGATGACGAAGAAGGTCGTGGCGATCTTTATGCTGGCGGTGGGAAATCTGGGCTTGCCGTACAGGACCCGCATCAAGGTGACCAAAGGAAAATTATCAAAGATATGTTAGCCCAGGCGAAAGCGTGAGTTGACCATACTGTTGGGAGAGGGAAAGAAAATTACAGGTGGCTAATTATATGGTTCAGCAATGCGTCCCGGCCCGATCAGTCTGCCGACGAACCTGGTCCATCCGCTCCGTCGCGCTTCCGCGGCGCTGGCGTCACACTAGGTGGTGAGGGTGTTGAAAGTCGAAGGATTCCTGATCCTCTGGGTTCTCTCCCTGCATCCAGTGCCGCTCCCGAGGATCGCATTCTACACATCTGGCAGGACGGCTTTAGCATTGATGATGGAGAGCTTCGGCGGTTCGACGACCCAGCAAACCAAGCGGATTTGCAAATGATCAAGTCAGGTCGGGCTCCGCTACACTTGATGAATGTCCAATATGATCAGCGCGTCGACGTCAAGCTGCATCGACACGCGACCCCCTATCAGCAACCACTCAAGAAGTACACGCCGTTTTCCGGAGCAGGTCAGCGTCTGGGAAGTCCTGTACCTGGTGTCGGTAGTCTTGCTCCACGTCTTGCTTCCACAGCCACAGCTTCCACATCATCAGTCTCAGCATCAACAAGCCCGGAGCCATCTATTGACTCCTCACAGCCTACCGTCATGATTCGAATTCAGATGCCAGACGGGACGCGACTACCGGCTCGTTTCAATACGACCAATACTGTGGGAGATGTCTACGGATTCGTACAGAGGGCGTCACCAGATATTAGAACTAGATCGTGGGTCCTCGCAACAACTTTCCCGAACAAGGAACATACCGATAAAGACTTGGTGTTGGGTGACATGGCGGAATTCAAAAAGGGCGGAACAGCTGTTGTCAAGTGGACTTAGTGTGATGATCATGGACACCTCGTGACCCGGCAACACGAACTGAGGAAAAATAACCAGGAACAGCGATGCGGGGTGGCTTATACAGCTGCCGAAATTGGTAGACTTAGAAAATCCAAATCGAGATAGGGCCAAGAAGATGCCCAAGATAAGACATCTTTCTGATCTCGGGCGAGAGTCAATGCGACTAAAAAAATTGTACATGAATGCCATCCTGGGTTTCAAGCAAGCCACCTTCACCCACATGAACGAACCGATTGGTACCGTAGCTCCAAAACGCCAAACTAAACCACGTTATAGCTTCTCACGCGCATGTGAATAAATCTTTATAGGCCTTGGCAGTTTCTCCCTCCCTATGACGACACAGCGGGCACTACTGCCGCGGGCACGGCATGTGCAGCAGGGCCATCCAGAAACTTGAAGTGCTCAATTGCAATCTGACAATTCAGCATGGCCGCGTTGAATCTAGCCTCGCCCGACGGGAGCACCACCATGAGGTAGGTATTCGTCGTAAACTTCAAAATGAACAGATTGAAGCGCGTGCCGGCTTTGTGCTCCATGCGAATAAACTGCTCTGCATTTCTAGGCGTTCCCGTAAAACGCGAAATGCTCTGCTTGAAATGCTTCATAATGTTCGACATGCGCTCCAGCCTATCCTCTGTCGGATTCCGCCGTCCCTCGGTCGACGTCCACGACGACACTGCCAGGAACGACGTCCGCTCGAACAGCAGCAACTCTTCTGCTTCGATGGCCACGCCCAAATTGGCGAGGTTCCGCTCAATAACAGCCAGATTCGGCACGAGGTCGTGAATAATGGACGCCCAAGCCTTGTACAAGCTTTGGTCCCAAATGGATGTCGCAAAGGGCGTCAGTTCGACGGTGCTCGCGTCGCCACCGACAGAGTTGACGTATTCGGTGGTCTTTTGCTTGACGGTGCGCACGCGCTCGTCGTAGACGGTTTCGCGAGAGGTGGGAACCACGAGATCCATTTTGTGTATGAGGATGTAGATCTTGGCGGCCGGGGAGTATTGGAGCAGGGCGGAGAGTATAGACACGTAGGTTGCCAGGTCACGGTCTACGTCGCGCGACTCGATGTCGAAGACGTAGATGAGGACGCCGACGTTGGAGAAGACGTGGACGCGCTGTTGGAAAAGGTAGTTCTCCATGAAGGCTTCTTGCCCGCCGCAGTCCCAGAGATTGAGGGTGAGGTTGCCAAGAAATTTGACGTGAGACAGGTCGATGTCGATGGTGGCACCGCTGGAGGGGGTTGTATTTTACTTTAGTCACAGGGTGGAAGAGCTTGGGATAGCTGGGGAGAGACGGGACGAAAGCTTACAGTCGTCGAGTATCTCGGGCAATGTAGTTGCTGAAGATGATGCTTCTCATGGAGGACTTGCCAGATCCGGATTTGCCCATGAGGAGAACCTTCTTTTTCTTGGGCTTTTTGACTTCGTTTCGGACTTCAGAAGGGCCTGAGTCGGTAGGGGGCTGGTCCGGCTGCGACGCCATGGCGGTTGGGTGTAGATGGGTGCTGCTCTTTGGCAAGATATGGGTTGCCGTGTCGTGGGATTGACCTTAAGAAGCGGCAGAAAGTGGTGGGGTGGCCTGGCTGAGCTGGGCGGTGAGGTGGAGAGGGGCCGCTGCGGGTGTCTCCGTGTAGTGTTGTTGGCAGGAACCTAACGGAACTCAATGTACGGAGTACCCAGCCGGTGGCTTGGCGGCTTCACAAATTGGCGCAAGGCTACTTAAGTAAGTAGACAACGGCTTGGCTTTCCAATTGATCAGTGGCAGCAGAGAACAACTATCTGTACTTTTAAGCACTTAAGTAAATAATCAGTTGCATGCTGGCTGCCGATGCAGACCCCGTAGCCCCCCAGGCACAACCATGACGTGTGTGGTACCTTTCGGGTGGGCGCGTACCAAACAGGTGCGTTTGCTCCTTCCGCGCGAGCCCTGGCATTTCCGCGTTGCTATTGACGCTTCCAGTTCTTGACGCTTCCGTACCAAAGTCTGCACCCATGGAACCCATTAATTCGAACAGCCACATTACTCTATCTCCTTTACCTCGACTCTGCCCTTCTCTTCGTCCTCACTCTCTGCAGCCTTGGCAGACGACACCTCGCTACTCACACCAGCAATCTTGTTCTCAAACTGCCGCCCACAACGCTCAGGACCAAGCATGGTGGTGACGACGATTCCGAGGGCAATAATAGCAGTCGCGATGCCCATGACTGGTCCGTACGCCTCCACCCTTTTACCATTAGATTTGGTCAGAAATGTCTTTTCAGCAATTGCATTCACAATCTGTGCCGAAGGCGAAGAGATCATGTTGCCGAGCTGGTATGTGACGCCGGGGAAGGTCGATCTGAAAGCAGCAGGAGAAAGTTCGTTCAAGTGAATAGGAACCACACCCCAAGCTCCCTGGACAAAGAATTGCATGAAGAAGCCAGTCGCGCTCAGTGCACGTTCACCGGTGGGCAAGATCCAAGCCGGAATCAAAAGAGTAGACATCAGAGCCGAACCAATAATAGTCCTGCGACGGCCAAGGAATTGCGACATATATCCTAGAATAGTGCCACCAACGCACGCACCAGCCTTCATTAGAATGGACGCTCTCGAGGCACCGGCGTTATTCAACCCTTTTTGAGAAAGCATAAAGGTGGTATACGAATCCTGCGAAGTGTGGGAGTAGTAGTTGAACCACGTCATCAGGATGGTGCAGTAGACACACATCTTCCACTCTTGCTTGAGCATCTTGCTTGTTTCACGCCAGAATGCGCCAGGGCTCGATGACTTTTTTCCTTTTTTCTTGGCCTCCAAAAACTGCTGCGACTCCGGGAATAGCATGCGGATGAGGCCGACGACTATGGAGAACCCGGCTACAAGATACAGACGTCAGTTTAGCCCTCAGCGGATCCTGATACTTTGCCAATTATCCATCGTTACTTACCAGCAATCCAGAAGACCGTCTTCCACGTGTTGGTCCCCCCACCAACGCCAAGGTTGGCGCAGCCAGCCAAGACATAGCCAAACGAATAGCCTTGCTGCAAGATACCGGACATTAAACCACGAGCATTGGATCTAGCCAAGAAAAAAAATGGATTGTCAGTGTGGCACCTTAATATACAACATCGGACGAACACCTACGGGCACTGTTCGAGAGCCATGGCGATAGCATTGCCATAGACACCGCCCATAAAGAGACCAAACAGACTTCTGACGGCGAGGAACTGCTCGAAATTACGACTGTAGATTGTCGCGACTTGCAGAAGGCCGAGAATGATCATGTTGGCCACCATGGGCCACTTGCGGCCCCATTTATCACCTGCAAGACCGAAAAACGCTGCACCAATGGATCGAAGAAGCAGCGTCAGTGTAATGGCTGTGGTGATGTCCGTCTTGGACCGGCCATAGTAATCAGCTAGCTTTTTGGTCTGGATCGAGAGGGCGTGGAAGTCGAATGCGTCTGCCGTCCAAGAGAAGAAACCAACCAGGAAGAACAGCCAGTTCTTTGCGGACAGCTGAGCCAAGAGGCTAATGGGATTTTCGAAACGGTCAGGATCTTTCCACTCACAGCGAGTCTCGTCGTACTCATTGGAGAGAACGACACGCTGTCGCCAGATGAATAAATCTCTGAGAGATTGTTTTGCGGTGGGGATTATGCCTCTGGCCAGAGGATCGGCGGGCTCATTCCCTGTCCGCGCCATTGTCAAGGATGGATGGAAGCCTTGCAGGATACGTTGGACAGAACAGAATTAAGGAAACCAAGTAACCAAAATCGCGTCAATTTGGTTTTCGCTTCGCTGACATCAGCGTTCTCATAGAGCAATGACACCAGGTCTTTTTTGCGATTGACAAAAGGAATGAGATGGGAAGGCTCTGATGAAGAAGAAGAGGAGCTGGCTGGGTGGCTTAGGTAGGTGTGCTCTGTATACATATATACACATTATGTACGTGTATCGGATTGGGTTGAAGGAAGGGCTGATGTATGCGCTTGTGAGACCTGGAGAATCCCTGAAAGCAGCACATGGGCCACACACCCTGCAGGGTGTCTCCAGGATGAGACCCGTTGTTCGACAAGGAGTGCTTTGTACGACGCAGGAAATACTCAAAATGAAGGCAAATTTATCGCCCGTTCCCGGAGTCACACAACAGAAAAAATTGTGGACAGACAACTAGCACCAAAACCACAGTCGATTCCATAACCGCCGCCGCCGCTTCCTTCACCTTCTCTTTGCATGTTAGCGTTTACTGGATGAGTCCGAAGATCCTGGGGACATTCCCCATGCAGAAACAAGAGGTCTGGCTCATGATTCCAACCCCTCCCCGAACGGAAAATCACGACTTGGACCCGGACAATGCTCTCAAGGCAAAACTGTAGCTGCTCAAGAAGGGGCAACCAGGGGGTGATGGAATGGGGCTGTGTGGACAGCAAGGCAAAATAACACTGGATTTGAGAAAACCGGCGCGGCCTGCGAAGAACGAATCATGAGCCACTTGCCAGCAAACGGTGTACGGAATATTCCTGGACCCTTGGAGCAATGGATGACAATGTTGTGGGGGAAGCACCATCAGCTCCATTTCAGGACAGAAGATGCGCCTTGCGGCACTCCGTCCCCCACGACTCATCTCTTGGCGCCCCCCGCGGAACCGGAGAGGGAAGTTATCGTGTCCCTGTCCCCTGGGTTGCGGGGAAATTACGTCGCAAATTGTCACGGCGGGTGCAAGACCATCTGCTTTCGTGAGTTGCAAGAGAGGTTCCGACGGGAAGACGTTGGGGTCGCACCCGAAGCCATCGGCTAAGCCGCGATGCCCTTCGACTTGGGCCGCTCCCCAGATTCAGATATAACTGCTGCAGTATGCTTGAGCAAAAGCTTGCCGCAGCTGAGGACCTCGACCCAGGCAAGCGCTTCGGCCTGACCCCGCTCCGCTCCCTCTGCGCCGACGCCTGCAGTCAGTCATGTGGTTGTATGCCTACCACCGACCAAGCGACCCAGACTCGTTTGGAATGTGGCTGCGGTTGGCACAGTCCGTCAGCAGCCACCCGAACAAGCGTCCAGCCATTGGCCGTGAGAATGATGATGCCGAGGTGGTGTTGGGAGCACACGGCGGCGGCGTCTCGACACGCTGTACTGCTGCAGACCCCGACGGAGTTCTGCAGCAAGTCAAGAGATGTCAAGATAAGACAAGATGCCTGCCGGTGCTTCTGCGACATGACCCCGTATTTTTGATTGACATTCGCATGGCGAGGTTGCATTGGACCCGATTATGGGTGTACGCGCATTACTGTGGCCGAAGTGTCCCATGTGAGAAGTAGTTCGCAAAGAAACAGGAACAACCGACTACGTACTAGTACTATTACGTACTACTACTACTACTACTGCCAGTATATAACAGGTGAGCTGCTTATTCTCGTTAGAGATGCCTAGGAGATCTCCCTTTGGAGTCCGACCTGCATCAAGGAAACGCCTGGTGCGGTCAAAACGCTTAGCGCCATCACGTACCCGATAGGTCGTGGGCTGTCGTGTACGGGGTAGTGCCGAGTCAGTTAATCGTGCCCGCCCCACTTTATGTGGTTCGGCTAGCAAAAGCCCTCACCACCAAAGGTGGTGCTCGACAGCAAGGCGGGCCGGACACCAAGGCGGGCCAATTTTCAACCTAATAACGCTATTAACCTCTTCGCCTATAATGTACACCCTTCTCGTCCCAAATTTCTAGTAGATCTAGTACAGAATCCAGACGCCATTTACGTGCCTTTTTAGCTGCTTCAAAAAACGTCCTCTTGGCGTGGTTGTGGCGCCTTTTGTCGGCATGCTCTTTATGCTTGCTGTTCGCCTGATGAACTCGAGAAAGGTCTTTGCAAAGGCGTGATTGGAAGGAGAAACGGCGAATGGTTGACGCGACAGGTATGCATTTGTTGGCGGTGACGGGAGGGGAGCCATATGAAGAGGTGCATTATCTGTTGACTGTTTTTCTAGACCGGGAAATAAAAATAGGACATGTATAGAAAACCAGATATTACAGCCCTTTTTAAAAAAAAAATCAAAAAAATCAAAGGTCGTCACTCATTCATTGGAAGCTTCAACGAAAAAAAAAACCCCGGATGTAATTACGCAGCTCATTAAAGATCCACCTGATCAATCGCCGGCCACCATTGAGACCAGGCCCCCTGCTCGTCGAGGTTATTGCTGACTTCCGCGAAAAGCTGGTTCAACAAGGTATTAGTGTCGAGCTCGTGCTCGTGCTCGTGCTCGTGCTCGTGCCCTTGAACCGGCCAAGTCGCCTGCGCCGAGGGCCGCTCCGCGCCCCGAATCTCCCGAGTATGCGCGTCGGATCTATCCACGACACGGAACTCGTGGACAGACTGGTGTAGAGTATCAAAGTCTGCTCGTGTGCGCCCCTGGTATCGTGTCCGGTCCTCGGTTGCTCGCTCGTAGAGCACGGATGCATGGTGTATCGTTTTGATCTTGCGCGTGCCGCCCTCTCAATGTTAGCGCAACGGTGGCCACGGTCGTGTCATGCTTGCGGGCGGCTTACCCATCCGTCGGCGATTTTCCAGACAAGTCGAAACTTTTCCAGGTAGTCGAGACACATTTTGAGACAGTCGCTTGCTCGCGGGCTGCGGCCCAGGTTCATTCGGGGGTATTTCGCCACGTAGAGGTTGAGGTAGCCGGCTGAGAATGCGCAGAACCCGGCAAAGGGCGTCATGAGATGCACGCCACACTCGGAGGCCTCGTGTAGAATGGCGGCGATGTGCTCTGCCGCGCCGAAGAGGAGTCGGGAGCTGTCGTCCCACCAGCCCTCGGGGGCGGGCGCCCCCAGCATGGGCTGGTCGACTGGACCCCGTGGCTCCGACTCCGGGGTCGGCAGGAAGGGGAAGTACTCGCGGTGAAGCATGAGGGTGCTGACAAGGCGTAAGCAGGGGCGGCGGCGGCAAGTTGGGAGCCCCGTCGACCGCTACCGCTGTGGGAAGGGGATTCTTACCTCACGTAGTACAGGAGATTGAGGTAGACGAACGTCTCGCCGAAGCCGAGCGTCATGTGGACGGCCACCGAGTTGCTGGGGTAATCACAAATTCCGGCCAAAGCTGAGTGCAAAACCGGCTGAATTACGAACATGGTTCTCTGCAATGCTCTCGTTGGCCTACGAAATTGGCTGAACCCGGGGACGCTCCACCAGAAAGCCCTGGCTACTTCCAGCCTGCCAGGATGCCTCCCCGTATTCTTCCCTATGCTGAAGAGTGGATGTGCGCCACGAGACTACCCCCTTTGTTGCGGGTTTGCCTCTGTTGGGCTAAAATCCTTCTAGATCAACTAGGTACTCCGTACGATGGAGTCGAAACGGTCATGTGTCCCAAGACGACATGGGTTAAAAAGAGCCTCCGACCAACCCCAGGGCAGATGCTGGATGGGGCACTCCTGACCCTAGGAATTGTGGTGAAGTATACCGGGTCCAGGAAGCCAACATGATGCGACTTTTGTCTCTCTCTCTCGCAGGACATGCTTGCCTTGTGTTGGGTTTATTTTTTCACCGGTAGATTATGCGCGCTGTTTCCCCGCATAGTCCAGACAGTTCACACACTGGAAGAGACAAAGAGAATCCGACTTGTGAAGTTGTTCTTGGCATGTGAGTTGGCCGTATTTCCGCACCACGCGAGACCATATCATGCATGGTGAGCCAGAAAGCCAGGCTGGCTGGGCATCACCCGGCCAAGGGCAAGTATTTGCCTCCGTCACAAATGCTAACCCAATGCAGTACGAGACGGGGAACACCAAAGAGTCAGGACGGAGTTGAGAGCAAGGAATATCGGAAAGCCATTCCCCTGGCTTCCGAATCAGAAGTCGGTGCGGACCACTGAGACCGGCAAAGAATATTGGGCAACTCTAATGCAGACCAGGCCGGATGGCATGGCTACGACGCAAAGCGTCCCGGCATATAGTACGCTGCGACTGCTAATTGCCGAAGATTTCGGTTCGGACAAGCCCGTCCTCTTACGGCCTCAGCCGACCGCAAACCGCCATCCTTTCCCAGCTGTGTTGCTCACGCGGATGTCGTCAAAGTCAGTACGGTGCGGCCACGCCACAACCGTGTCCTGTGTCGACTTGCACGGACCCGTTGCAGTTTGTCTCGGAGCTCACAAAGCCAACAGACTGGACTACACGCTGACGGTTGGTAATTGAGCCTTTTGACAAGGCGACAATTACTACATCCTGTGTCACAGGCAAAGAGCTGGTCCGCGTTTGTCACACGCAAGCCAGACGACAGACACCTGCCTGTTGATGGCTGAACAAGCTGCAATGCCTGGATCCCTTCAACGAGGGGAAAGGCAGGAAACATGAAATGTAAAGTCGTATAGTGATTAGAGACCTCCGACTAAATACGTGTTCTGCCGTCGAAAATGCCGTTACCAGCGGCATCGAAGTTACTAGTAGCTGTGCTCGTCCACGGAAAAAGCGGCAGAGTCCAACATGTCACGTCTGTCTGTCGAGCTCGTTGAAGTCTGGTCTGGCGACGTGGACTTGACCGACTCATCACGCGACAACGGCAGCGGGAGCATTTCCGCGACGACGCACACCGCCTCATCAATGCACGTCGCGAACCGCGCCGACGCGTGCTGCGATGGAGAATACCTTGGCTTGTGGACATTGATCAGACGACTGGAGATGCCTCGAATGGTGTTGATTTTGTGACAAGCCATGACAGCGCTGACGAGTATACGTGAATGTATGTAGAGTCACGACATTGTATTTCGTAGCAGCACGTTGGTGCCAAAATCAGCGTTCCAAGCAAGCCAACATACACGTTACATTGCCGGGCAGCAAGCACCAGACGAGCCAGGGGCCGACGTCAGGGGAAATGGCCCTTCTCGGGGCCAAAGTACCCCCTCTCGGGGACGGGCAGCCACCCGACCTGCTGGCCGTCGAGGCCGGCGGTGCTGACGGTGTTCCCCCACCACGTCAGGCTCCTGGGGTGGTAGCCGACGGCAAAGAAGATGACGAGGGCGCTGACGGCGAGGCCGGCGGTCAGGGCGGCGGACAGGACGTAGTTGTACTTGGACCACCAGGCCAGGCGGTGCCTGGGCAGCCAGTACATGAAGACGTAGGACAGGATGAAGCCGGGCGTCTTGTAGGCCAGGTTGGACGGGGCCCAGTGCTGGACGCCCTGGATGACGAGCACGGGGTTGAGCCACATGAGCGAGGCGACGAGGCGGAACAGGGAGCGGTCGAGCAGGCGGAAGCGCGCGGGGGACATTCTGGAGCGGAGCCGCTCCCGCACGCCGGGCAGGTACTTGGGCCCCAGGCCCTGGCCGGCGAGGAAGACGACGGCGACGGCGGCGCCCACGAGGAAGCACCACCTGAAGAGGGGGTAGACCGAGTTGAACATGCGCTCGGAGCCCAGGAGCCCCCACATGAGCGAGTTGGCGTAGAGGGGGGCGCCGTCGCCGGCGCAGGTGAAGCGGGAAGGCTGGTCGGGGGTGCAGAGGCCGTCGACGTGGCCGAGGATGAAGTTCTGCGTGGCGACGGCGACGAAGCAGGTGATGACAATGGTGCCCACCTGGCTGCGGAACACGGCCCTCGGCGCGATCTTGCAGTAGTGCGCCATCTTCTGGTCCTGGACGTAGTTGTCGCCGTAGCCGGCGAGCGCCCAGCTGCCCAGCGTCTGGCCGAACAGGAAGGCGTTGGGGTTGTCGGGCAGCAGGAAGCCCGTGATGATCTGTACCAGCGACCCGAGGCCCAGGTTGGTGCCCGTCGTGGCGGACAGGAAGGACAGCGGCACGGCAAACACGAGGTTGATGCCGATGACGAGGAAGACGAGCCAGACGGGCACGTCGACGGGGTACGTCTCGGCCCAGGCGACGCTGACGACGATGGCGCCGGCGAAGATGACGAGGAACCACCAGTCGGGGACCTCGCGGTACTTTGCCATTTCGCGGTTGTGCACGTCCGTGGCGTCCTCGTAGTTGCCCTTGCCGTGGCGCAGGCCCTTGTAGAAGTCGACGTAGGCCCTGCCGATCGTCCTCCACTGGTTGACCATGACGTAGAGGAAGTAGACGGGGTAAAAGGCAAAGTTGGCGCCGACGGTGAGGACGTAGCCCGCCGAGTAAAAGGGCGGCGAGTAGGCCTGGTACCTCTCCAGGTCGAGACGGTTGTTGACGACGACCCTCTGCACGGCGTAGGGCGTGCCGTCGTTGGCAAAGGCCGAGGACGAGTTGATGGGCAGGTGGCCGGTGTGGTACATGTTGGAGTAGAAGATGGCGAGGATGACGAGGCCGCCGAGGACGCTGCCGACGTACATGGTGCACGTGGAGAAGAAGGGCTGGGCGAGGGCGGCGTACGACGACGTGGCCACGTTCCAGTCGAGGGTGGTGACGGGGTTGAAGAGGCCCAGGCCCATGTTGGAGCCCGTCAGGACGGCGAGCTTGAAGTTGCCGGGCGCGATCCACGTCATCCAGTTGAACTGCGAGAGCGCGGTGAAGAGGTAGCCCGGCAGCCAGTAGTAGGCGAAGCTGGAGGCGGCGACGAGGAAGAAGAAGCGGTAGCGCGAGACGGTCCAGCCGTTGACCCTCTCGCCCGGCGGCTCGGGCTTGGTGAGGGCGCGGTTCATGGCGATGACGGGCATGAGCGTCGGCCACAGCGCCTTGACGGGGTAGACGGAGAAGCGGCGCAGGTAGCCGGCAAGTCCCATGCCCATGAGCTGCACGAAGAGCGTCAGCATCAGCTGGTAGCCAAAGCCGACGAAGTCGAGGCCGTAGTAGACGGGGGAGCGCTGCACCAGGATCATGCCGTAGCTGTTGGTCGTGTAGATGGCGATGTTGAAGGTGATGGTGGCGAACATTTGCTCCTTGAACGTCCAGGGGCCCGGGTTGAGCGAGTGCCGCGTCTTGAAGAGCCTGACGCCCCAGTCCGGCAGCACGGCCTCGAGGCCCCTGCCGCAGGGGTAGAGCAGGATCTGGATGACGGAGTTGCTGAGGCCTGTGGGGAGAGGCTCGTCAGTCGTCGTGCAAGATGGACCAGCGGTGGTGAGGCAGCCGTGTCGAGACGGGTTTCGCCTCGCCTCGCCGTCCCGCACAGCACGTCACCGTCTCTGCATTGTGCAATGGGGACAAGGGGTACGTACTGATGCCCGGAAACCGACTGTTGAAGAAGGTCGACATGAAGGTCCCGATCACGGCCCAGCCAATGCCCAAGAAGTAGGCCCTCGCCGTCTCGACCGGCACGCTCGCGTCGTCCACGGGGCTCGCGACGGCTCGCACGCCCGGATACGGACTCGACCACCTCATCATGACGGCGTCGACGCGCAGGTCGCGGCCCCAAAACTCTCCGTAGCCCTTGGGTCCCTGGCTCAGCAGACGCCGCATGCGCTCCCGCATGTCGGACGGGAAGTTCCAGTCGTCGGCGTGAAAGTCCAGCGCCTCGGCCACAATGGCGAGCGCCTCCTCCTCTGTCATGCCGTTTATCTTGTCCAGGATGAACTCGGCCTCGCCATTGGGCGCCAGCGTCTCGAGCATCTCGGCCGGGATCTGGTCGGCATAGTTGGGTGTTGCGGACGACCGGGCCTTCTTTTCGACGTCGTCTGAAGGGAGGGAGAGGTGTGTTTGTATGGCCTGAGACTTTTCCGCCGCCATTGCTCCCTCTTTCCATGCAATTTTGTATCTACCTGCCTGTGTGCGTTTATGTCTTTATATATTGGTGCCGCCGTGGTAGTTAGGTAGTTCCGCGATGGTGGCGTATGGCGTCCACGGATGGGCAAGTCGGCAAGAAGACGTCTCGCTGGAAGAAGAGGGAGGAGGGGGGGACGATTGCTCATATATGGGATATATGTCGACAAACACCAGTGAGAAATGGCCTGCGGTGCGGTGGACGACGCTCGCGACCACACAGTCGTTGCTCGTGTGCTCCGAGGCGCCGTCACAGACTCACAGCATGGCGCGGATGCGACGTGCAGGGCTGGCGCAGATTGATCAGTGTGCACCTCCATCGGGGACTCCCAAGTCGTCTGTTGCTTGCTTGTCGTGCCCGCCTTGCCCGTCTTGCCCGTCTCGTCCCGTCTTGTCTTGTCTTACTTGACCTGCATGCAGGTGTTGCTCGCTCGAATGTGCCACGACACGACTACTAGCAGTATTAGGCATGTCGTTGGTTTTCTGTTTCGGCCGCTCCACGGTTACATCGGCCGCTCCAACGTGTGACATTTTGCAGCCATCCTCTCAGACCCGGAATTGGTCATGGCCGAGTGTGGTTGAGCATGACGGACGTTGGCTGGCTGCGGTGAGTTGAGTTCTGAGTTCCCTTGGCCTTTCCGTTCTTGTCACCAGCCGTGACCGTGACCGTAACCGTGACCGTGACCGTGACCGCGACCGTGACCGCGAGCGCTGTTGACTCAAAGACTTTGCCTAAGCATGCACCTGCATACGTCGACGACGATGTCGCAAGTCTGGCCCACAAACGGCCAGCGCCAAAAAGGCCTTGCGCCGGCCTCCGACGAAAGACGCCAACAAGATTTGGACCCGGTTCGTCCGTCGTCCTTCGTCGTCGCCGTCGGGTTGCCCTAGACCCGGCTCAACCAACAACCCCACGCCAACATCCACATCCATGATCCATCCCTGCTCCCGCTCACCATCGATGCCGCCGGGCTTTTTGTCCAATGTGCGGGGAACCCGTGGCGTGGGCCGGCAACCAATTCAACGACGAATGCTCGTGGCAACACCGCCAGGCTTCCTCCAAACTAACCATCTAGGTATTCATGCGCCGTCTAGTCATTACAACACAATAGGCCTAATAAGTAGCAATACTAGGTAATAAAAACAGAGAATTCAACGTCACCAACGCCATCAGCGCCTACTAGTCCAACCGATCTTTGCTCGATTGTCTCGCCCTCTCCAGCTCCGGCGTGCGTGACACCTTCCTCGTCGCGGCCCCTGCCACCTCAACCACCGACGTGTCCATACTGACCCGGAACGACTTGCCTCGCCACCTTACCGTCGTCCCACATAGAACAGCATACGCCCAGACCGGCAGTGCCAGGCTTTCTCTTCCAACCCATGCCAGGAGCCATTCCCAAAATCCTCGTCTGGGCATTCCCCCCGCCTGTGACGTGCCGCGGACAAACTGGGGGCTGTCGCGCCGGCGCTCTATGCTCCAGCCCGAGTGCAGGAGCTTGAATGTCTGCCTGTCCACCAGCATCCACGCCGTCGCCGCTGAGAGCCAAATCAACGCCATGGCTGACCTTGTCTGGGGAATGCCCAATGCCTCGTGAAACCAGGCAAGCGTCGTCACGGCAAAGGCAAGGTAGGCGCAGCAGAGGAAACATTCAATGCCCGGTTCGACAAATGTGGCCGCCAGCACCGTGAACTTTCTTGCTCGCAGCCATCGGACACGGCGGGCGGCGTACGACATGATGGACATGCCTGCCATGGGCTGTATAACCAAGTCGCCCCAGACGATTCCATGATTGGAGTGGCCTGGAATGTTGGATCTCCAGAGTAGATCCCCAATGAGGTGGTCTTCGCAAATGTTGTAGGAGAAATAGTCCACTCCGCTGGGCTTGTCAATTCCAGCGGGAAGGATGGGATTGCTCGACGCCGTCGTCACCTGATCGAGATGCGCTTTTCGAAACATGTTGCTTTTCCCTACAATACAGGGTGCAACACTGACAAAGTTTATAGCGCCATAGAACTTGACATGCGTCGTTGCCATGAACATCTCGTCGAGACGCCCGCCTCCGTGGCGACAAGTGCGCGCAAGGACGTGTTCGGATTCTTTAGGGGTGCCCGGGCACACGCCAGCTTCTGAGGGCGATGACAAGAGAACTTGGCTGTCTTCGGTTCCCGGACGACTGTAGTCCACCACATCAACAACCAGTGGCATCTGGTGAACAAATTTATAGGGAGTTGTCGAGGTTCCGGCCGGCCCATATCCCATTAGCTTGTCAACCATGCGCCCCAGCACACCGCTTGCCACCCAGACATTGCAGTCAATTATCCATATAATGTCCCCTTTGGCTTCTCGGTATGCCCTACTGATGTTGCGCACTTTGGGATTTGGGCCCAGGTTGTCAATGCGGCCTTTTGTTCCGTGCAAGATTGGGTCACGAGATTCAACGAGAACCTGGGCGTCGAAAGATGGAAAGTCGTGGACCAGCTTTTGTAGTACCGGGTATGCAGCGTCGGTCTCGTCCTCAACACATAGGCGGATGGACAGTTTGTCTGCAGGATAGTCTTGTTGGAATGTAGATGCAATGCACTCGTAGAGTCGAGGTTCGAGGCCCTTGACGGGGCGGATTATTGTAACTGAGGGAGCATCCTGGGCGAGCTTTGAGGAGACGGGAGGCGATGGCACTTTTGAAAAGTGTCGAAAACTGCCGCAAACGGTATTAGCATACTCCTAAATTGGCTGCCCCTGTGTATCTATCGACGTGCCTAGGACTTGGGGACCAAGCTGCTTACATAGCGGCAATGCCAATTGCTTGGACAACCACAACTGCGACGGACCAGATGAGACAGATCACGGCGACAATCTCGACAAAGGATCCCATTTCAAAGCTTGCTCAGAAAGCATGGCGCGGCTTCCAAGGAGGGATCAACGTCGAGCAGCGGTTGCCAAGGACACTACGGACGTCCAGCCCTGATGTTAGAGGAGGTTGGTGGTGGAAGAAGAAAAAGGAGAAAGAAAAGAGGTCAAAGGGAGAAAAGCGGAAAGAAAGATAACGTTATATCGCAAAGTAATGCTTGGACAGTGATGTGAAGCAAGAGCGCAGGAGCACAGGATCCGAAGGAGGTGAGTGCATTCCAACTTTGGGAAGTATCGTCGTTGGGTTATTCCGTCGCCACCAAGGTGCCACCAATGAGCAAAATAACCAAGTGCCAGGAGGCTCAACGAATAAAACGCAGATTGAAGAAGCCGGATCCGAATGCCAAACCTCACCACCAGACGAGTCCCACGGCGGCGCTGTGTGCCATGCAGGTGTCCTGGTTTGTCTACTGATGCAACTAGCACTCCTTATTGTCTCGACTGAACCGGCCGCGAGCAGTGGTTGTGGGTGTCGTCGAGCACTAGGCCAGGGCTACTGATGTCAGGGGTCTGATATTATTTTTGCGTCGCATTGGTTCATGTCGTGCTCGTTTCCTTTGTTGCTTTGGTCAGTTGTCAGTTTGCCGCCCCCCGAGCCACCAGACTGGACAAGGAGACGGCAACAACGAGCCTGGCGGACGAAAAAAAAATGATGAAAGAAGTTAGTGCTAGGAGGTCCAGGACGACGGGGCCAAGATGCACGGAGCTGGGCACCGGAATATCTGGCGTCTGGGTTGTGCTCGCAAGGCGCAACGCTTGAAGATTCGTCGTCGAGATGGTGCTCCACGTCTCTGGTCCACAGCCTCCTGCTGCATGCTCAAGTCGGAAATTCCAGTCAATCGGCCTGTTGGCCCTTAAGCCCGATACTTGTTAGGGAGCCAGCTACGGAGCACCGAGTAAGAAGTACTTGAGTAAGTAAGGTACTTTAAGTAGACATCAGGCATCCGTGCCAGTGGCGAGAGGCCAACGAGTCAACGACGCTTCCGCTGAAGAGTTGAGTTACTCCATGCACCAAACAACAAGTGGACCGCGTAGCCGCAGTTTAGCCAAGAGCCCCAGATGTAACCAATTGACCTCGTAAAATTTCAACTTCGTCTCCCTCTGACCTTGCCTCTGATTTTGACTTCACCATCCAATCCTCAAAAGACTTCCACAACAGGATCTTCCTGCATCACTGCAACCATCGCAGCTCGCCGGTGCTGTCCTTATTCGAGCAGCGTTGCGTGGCCATGTGGTAGACGGAGTAAGTTGTCTTTGACTTGTCCAATTCATTCAGGTCTTGCAAGCCCCCTGCAGTCCCGTTGCGGCTCTGAAATCTGGCTTTCACCTGTCAATGTGCGCATTTCCAAGGTGAACCGCCGCCCTTTCTTCTTCCGCAATGGATGTACACAACCCTTTCGTTGCCCTGCTACATGATGACACCTACCACACTGTGCATAGAGGAATTCTCCATTCACTTGGACCTCAATGATTGCCCTTGATTATAGACTACAACGGTATCTGATGCAGTGTTTTGCCCCGTTCTCCTTCTCTGCAATGTGACCACCTCATCAGGTCCAACGAGATTCGCTGACAGCGTCAAGCAAGATGATTCCGGCTCGAAATGGCTGAGATTCAACCGATCCCCAAAGAAAATGGCCAAGTAACGGCCTCTTCCGCGCGGGCTGGCGCCAAGGGCGCAGTTTCTCAAAAACGGGGTCCCTCCATCCATCAGATATATGCGCTCCCTGCTCCGATTCGGACATTTCCCCTCCCAGCCTTTTACCCCAATAACCCTTTGTCGCTCTTTGCCGTCGCCTACGCGTGGCTTCACCAGGTATTGGCCCCGCCTCCTGCTGAACCGGCAGTCGTCCACCAAGGCGCTTGGTCCAAGCAAACCTTTTCCGTCCATGTCACGGATGAAAATTCAATGAGAGCCCTGTGGGAGCAGGGTTTTTACGGCAAGGGGAGCCTAAGTCGGAGTGAGCCGAATTGGTTGAAACGAGAGCAGGTCCGTAGAGGTCTGCAAGAGACGCACGTCAGTGAGATCCTGACGGTGCAAAGACGAGAAGAGCGAGCCAGGGCCAAGTGGGAGAGAGCAAGACTGGAGCAGGAGGCGATACGGCAGACGCGGCTGAAAGAGGCCCAGCTAGCTGACGCTGACAGTCAGTCCCAAACTCCAACATCACTGTTGTCCTCGTCACCAGTAGCTTCTGTTGCACCCACTGGCCCCGTTGAGTTGCTCTCGCTCCCAAATTCAGCAGCAGAGGCCTCCAAAAGACTAGAGGTCGTTGGCGACACAATGCTTGCAGCACGGGCCGCAACAGAGGCAGTAATGATGCCGCTGCCGGATGGTGTCGCACTGTCGAGCATGCTTGATGCAGGAAATCGCATTGTCGACACCAGTGTTGTCAGCACGGCATCGTCCGAAGCTGGTAACTCTCGTGTCAAGAGCCGGTCGAGTAGCAACGACGTCATGGAGACACCGCACTCACCAGCGTCCGAAGCATCAAGTGACTCTGCTGGAGACAAGACTTTGAAACGTCAAAAAAGTGTTCGCTTCTCACCAAAAGTGGAATCAACTACGTTCAATCTGGCAGACCCCCCCAGCCCGCATCACTCTATTAATGGGAAGGGCAAACGGCTGTTCCTGAATGGAGAACCCAATCACTCTGCCACAGCAGAAGAAGTGAAGAAACTGTCTGCAGCGGGGCCAGAAGGCGATATTGTAAACAAAGAACACCTCCAGCTTATGCCGGAAGAAGCTTTCTTTCTCACATTTGGCTTTGGGGCACTCTCTGTCACAGACGCAGCCTCGGGCAAGAGTCTCACAACCAAGGAATTGCTCACCCTGTTTCGACAATATTCTTACTTCCCCCCCCGGACTGGCGGCCCCGATGAGGCAGATCTAGAGCCGGACGATGGCTTCTTAGTCCACTATGCTGTGTATCACCACTTCCGATCCCTCGGATGGGTGCCACGAGCGGGCATGAAATTTGGGGTCGACTGGCTTCTGTACGCCAGAGGCCCCGTGTTTGACCACGCAGAATTTGGGCTCATGATTGTGCCATCGTACTCTGACAAGTGGTGGAAGGACAGACGAAAACAGGGACCGCAGAGGACATGGCCCTGGCTACACAGCGTCACTCGCGTGCTATCTCATGCTGTCAAGAGTCTTGTACTAGTGTATGTGGACATACCGCCGCCGGCCAAGTTTGACGCGGCGCTGGAGAGGGGATTTGCGGAGGCGTTGAAGCTGTACAAGGTGCGCGAGGTGGTGGTGCAGCGCTGGTCAAGCAATCGCAACCGGTAGGTAGCATGTGAAGATGGAAAAGTACAAGGCTGTAAAAAGGGCGATGCAAAGCAGACGGGCAACATGGTTGATGCGCGAGATGTGTGGCCGAGGGGCGTGAGGGTTCACGTGCGAGTTGTGAGGGTTTTGCCCGTTTCCAGCGCCCCGCATTCTGGCATCCATCGACGTCGCCGAGGTCCGGACTCCGGATGCATGGTGTCATTGGCAGCAAGAAGCACAACCCGTGCGTGATGGGCAAAATGCGCAAAATGCGACTTGGGCGCTGAACCCATCTGCCCACCTCTGTCGCGCCTCTCCTTCTTTCACCTGAAAGAGCCGCGAAGCTTTAGCAGCTCCAGACCGTCCCCTTGGATATTTTAACCCGAGAAATACCAGTCAATTGGTGATGCTGGCGCCCCGAGCCGCCATGCGCGGCAGCCGCCTTGGCACCAGCCTCCCCCCACAAGTTGCACAAGGTGCACAACTCTCACGACTATCGCTCTTCTCCCCCCTCTCTTCTGCTAGGTCGAGTCAACTCCTTCGCAACATCCACAACAGGTCATCGCCCGCCACGAAACTCAATCTTCCATCCGGCCAAGTCACCAGCACCATCGCTCCCCTATCATCCAAGTATTGGCCCAAGTACCAAATCCCCGAGGGCGCACCACAGCTCATCTACGAACCCAAAGACGCCGGCCCCCTCACAATCTCCTGGACAAACAAACATGTCTTGATTCAAGATGGACCCGGTGCTGCGCCCAGGGCTCTCAGACCCGTCAACCTCCGAGATAGCTGCATCTGTCCAGCATGCAAAGACGCCTCGTCGGGACAAAAGAGCTTCGCGAGCACCGAAATCCCCTCCAACATAGAAATCTCGTCGGTCCGGCCAACAGACGCCGGACTGGGCATCCGCTTCTCCAACGACATGCCCCGACTCCCCGACCACGAAACGCTCCTCGCCTGGCACCATCTCCGTGCCCCCCGCAAGCGAAACCCATCGAGCCCAGCCTCCAAAAGCACCATCCTGGCCCGCACCGGCGTGCAGTACTGGGACGCGGCCACTCTTCCCAAGCACATGCGCAAAATCGACTACGCCGACTTCATGGCCGGCGGCGCGCCCTTCTGGGACGTGGTCATCGACCTCTGCCGCCTCGGAATAGTGTACCTGAAAAACGTGCCGCGCGACGAGTCCTCCGTCGTGCTCATCACCACCCGCATCGCCAACATCCGCGAGACGCTGTACGGACGCACCTTTGACGTGCGCGCCAAGCCCGACGCCGAAAACGTCGCCTACACAAGCGGCTACCTCGGCCTGCACCAGGACCTGTGCTACCTGCGCCCGCCGCCCATGATCCAGGTCCTGCACTGCATGGACAACTCCTGCAGCGGCGGCGAGTCGCTCTTCAGCGACGGCGAGCGCGTCGGCCGCCTCCTGTGGCCGTTTGTCTCCGCCGGCGCGGGCCGCATGGCCAGCCTGGCCGAGCACAAGGTGCCCTACCAGTACGACAAGCACGGCCACTTTTACCACGCGGACCGGAGCGTGGTTGACGGCGACGGCGGGCGCTTCCGGGGCGTGTACTGGTCGCCGCCCTTCCAGGGGGGGTACACGGACGGCAACGCCGAGGCCACCGCCGGCGACGACATGACGGCCTGGATCGAGGCGGCGAGAGTGTTTGAGGCGCTGGTGAGCGACGGCCGCGCCGTGCACCGACACAAGATGGCCGAGGGCGAGTGCGTGCTGTTTGACAACCTGCGCGTCATGCATGGCCGGACGGCGTTTGATGCCGCCCGCGGCGGCGCGCGGTGGTTGCGCGGCGCCTACAATGCCGCCGAGGACTTCCTCAGCACGGCTGCGCACATTCCCGAGGGCCAGGCCGACTTATGTAGGGGGAGCGAGGAGTGGAGTGATGACCAGGCACAGGCGGAGTTGCGCCGTAGTGAGTGGTGGCCCGATGTCGTGAGGAGGGTGAGGGAGGTCGAGAGGGCCTTGGGCTGAGGAGGACGGGTGTCGTGAGTGAGTGAGTGAGAGAGAGAGAGTGTGTGTGTGTGTGTGTGTGAGAGAGAGAGAGACGACGACCCGATATCTCTGCAAAAATGGCCATGTACAAAGACGGCGCAGGCGTTTCTTCACCAAGAACCGTAGAATAGACATTGTAATACTCGAAATGAAAAAAGTATATCCTCCTTCTTCCGCAAGCGCATCGGTTCAAGGGAGTAACAAACCACCAAGAGTTATGTATTTGACTAACATGACCAGGATATCGGCTAGCTGCGGTAAAGCCATGCAGTTTGCTACTATTACAGCCCTACATCGAATTTTGCCTCCACGATTGTCGTCTTTTTTTCTTCTTTTTTTCTGGAAATATCTTTTTTTCCGCCCTCGGCCAGTCACCCAGTTACCACTTCTTGGGCTCAACCCCCTCCGGAGGAACCGTCTCCACCGTCCGACTCCCGACATCATCCCAGTCCGTACTCAAACTCGTGCCGTTGCTCTCGATGAAACTCTTCATCATGGCCCTCTGCTGTTCGGGAGTCGCACCCTTGTACAGTTTCTTGAAAAAGTCATTCACGCCAGCCTCTTCCTCTTCGTCCTCATCTGCACCAATCTTGTCCCAGTTCTTGGGGCCAGTGCGAGATGACGACGGGTAGGCGGGGCCGGTAGCACCAGCCGTGTCTTCGGCCTTGTTGGCGGCTCCAGCTTGGACAGCTGCCGCTGCGGCCTTCTCGTCCTTTGCCTTTTCGTCTGCTTCGTCCATGGCTTGCTGTCTGGCTTCTTTGATAGCTTGTGACCTACACAGCGTTCGTGTTAGCCGTGATCTTCAATGTTTACGAGGGGGCAGAACGGGAAGAGCAGACTACAACGTACTCAGTGTCCTTTTCTCCGATGTTTTTGATCTCGGGCGCATCCCTTGTGACTCGTGACCACTTCCCTGGTTCTTTTTTAACCAGGCGTAGCTCGACTTTGTTGGGGGTGACGGCGTACCCCGAGGTAGATGGATCAATTTCGGCAAACGTCTGCAGCAGGAATTCTTTCTCGTCGCCGTTGGGGTAGACGAGAGGCTTCAGGCGGACCGACTCCGGAAGAAAGTCCACCTTGAGCTTCTCCTTGTTGACGCCCTTGCTGAAGATGGTCACGGACATGACGGTGTTGGTTTGGAAGTCCTGCAGACGGAGAGGGGCATCAGCAGGGATGACCGGTTTCTGTGCCGTCACCTCAGTCTTCTTCGAGCTCTCGGCGGTCTCGTCATTCGACCTGTTGAAAGTAGAAAGCTCCTTGCGCACCGGCCTCAAAGGCGCCGTAGCTTTACGAGCCTCGTCATCCGCCGGCAACTTCTTCATGGCAGTGAGAGCCTGAATCCGGAGGGTGCTCGCTCGCCGCCAGTCGCCGACATGTGCCGGTTGAGCAGCAGACATTGCCCCCTCGGGCCTGGTCTGGTTGAAAGGGTCCTCACGAGCCTCTGCCATGGCGTCGTCGGCAGTCGGTTTCCAGAATCCGTCCTCATCAGAGTTGGCGGCCCTGACGTCCTCCTTGTCTAGAGCAGCGTGACCCTTAGCCAGACGCATAGCATAGATGGCACAGCAGTCGGCGTTGGCGTACTGCCCGAGGCGGTAGTAGGCCACGGCTCGGCGGTAGTGCGCGTCAATCATGGAGTCTCGCTTGTTCCGCTCATAGGCCGTGTGGAAGGCAAGGTTGGCGTCGTCGAGGGCTTCCTCGTAGCGCTTGACGTTGATGAGCGCTTTGGACCGCGCGAGCAGCCATGCTGGGTTGGTCGAGGTCTGCAGAGCTCGGGAGAGCTTGCCGATGGCCACATCCCAATTTTTGGCGTCGACTGCAGCCAGGCCTTGGTTGGCATGGGTGATGTGCGACATGGTGACGGTGCTGTTGTGAGAGGACGAGGCAAAATTTTGCTGTTCGCGTGATGGATATGGTGCAAGGCTATTTATTATCTCCTGTATAGTGATGGACAAAGTTGACTGGGATTCCGTTTGCCTTTTGATGTGAAAGCCGGGTACGTACTTGCGAACCTTACACCTACAAGGCAGGTGCAACGAGTCAAAAGAGTGGGGCGACACATGGCAGCTTCGAACCTCACAATGTACGTTACTTCAGTACATACTCAAGTGACAAGTCCCTGCTGGGGTAACAACTAGGTGCGAATACAACTGGTCTGAATACCAACGGCAAGCGTGCTAGCACAAGTCCAAACGAGATTAGACATGGCAATTGTATTATTATTTAGATATTATCGCATCAAGTAGTTTTCTGTGCCTGTCATTGCAGTTGTAGCTTGACATCAGGGTACTTCTTCGCAAATAACCCCAACGCCTTCAAGGTAAACGTAAACTTGTAGTTGGGATACGAGATCATGCAAGATTTGTTGAAAACGCCTTCGATGGCTTCCTGAAGCCATTCTCCGCTTTCTTGCTGTCGTTCCATGATCAATTTGATGCCCTTCTGCAACGGCTCAATACGAGGGTAGTCGGCTTCAAGTAGGCCAATCAACGCAAATGCAGTTTGAACCACTAGAGACCCCATCGGATGCTCATGATACTCCATTGTTTCGCAAGCCTTTGAGAAGTCAGTATCCCGTCTTTTCCGTTGCAGAGTCCTTCGTTACACACCTTGTAGCTTTCGGACCAGCCGCCATCCTCTCTCTGTTTAGAAATGAGAAAGTCACAGCCGCGCCGTGAAATCTTGCTATTAGAATATGTCTCGCCAATACTAGCCATGCTTTCCAGTGCAAACATGGTCGCATAGGTGAAACATATGCCCCAGCTGCCATACCAACTGCCGTCAATCCGCTGATTTGTTTTGATCCAGTTGGTTGCTCTGTTGATGAATACCTTGATCTCCTTGTTTCTGTAATCCGGCCAATGCTTACTGAAAAGCGAAAGGGCAGTGACGCACGCTGTTGTGCATTCAGGATAGTCATACTCGATCATGATCCTGCCAAAGACTTCAGCGGCATTAAACGTTTCCATGTACTCTCCAGCTCGTCGGGCCTCGTACGATGATAATGCCCCGTTGTCATTCTGGTACAGCAACAACGTGTCGACTGCGTCAAAAATGCGCTGGTCTTCCAGCACCTCTGGGAACCCTCCGACCTTTTGTAGCAGAATGATGGCTTTGAGGGCCTCAGAGACACAGTCACTGACAGCATAGCCTTGATCTCGGTTGCTGAAGGGCCAACCTCCTTTTCGTGGTTGCCGGTAGCATTTCTCTTGGTCGACGCAATTTTCACGAATCTGTTGGCGTTCCAAGTACTCCAGGGCGCGAGTGAGCATTGGCCGCCAACGCTCATCGTCTTGCAGGCCGGCCTCAAAGACGCCTTGGATCAGAAATGCGGTATCCCAGCACTGGACGCCGTTGGTGCCGTTACAGAGCATGCCCTCATCCTTGACCCACAGATACTCATTTAGCCGTTCAATGTGCCGCTTTGTGCTGTAGGCATCAGGTCCATCTCGAATGTAGCATACAATCGTGTTCATCGGCGCATTTACAGGCGCGAGATCGGCGTAGCCTGTGTTGGCATCTTCCATATCCACCTGCTGGCTAACCCACTGTTCGGCTCGTTCCTTGATGAAGTTTGGTCGCAGGTATGGGTTCCAGACATTGACAACGAGCCAATTCACAGTGTTGAGCAGCCATGATTTTGGGTGGTAGTTATCGCCAGGTGCAATACTGTTTCGGTGCGCAGCCCAGTTGATGTCTGCGTGAGGCTGTGTAAAAAGCTCCTCTTTCAAACCACGGATTACGTCTGTCTCCTCACAGCTCCATCTCTTTGAGTAGACGTATGCCATTGGCAGGAAAACCATTCTGATATGAACCCACCATCTCCATGGTGCTATGGGCACCCAATCTGGAAGCAGCCAAAGTTCAGGCGGAACAGGATTGACAATGTCCCAGCTTACTACACCCAGAGTTGCCAACCAGAACTTGGCCCAGTGTGGTGAGTCGACGGCTCCCCCAAGCTTGTGTAAGGTACCCCGAGCCTTTACCATGAGCGGGTCCTCAGGGTCGACGCCAACAAGGCGTAACACTGTGTAGTTGAGGGTGATGCCGAATACGGTGCTCTCACCTTCAATGTGCAGTCCCCAGCCGCCGTCTTTCGGGTGAGCTCGTGCCGTGAGGTAGTCCTTTATGGCCGTTGCGTATGCCGACGAAATCGGCGTCTTGGTGACGTACCAGGCGACAACAATACCAGCAAGGAGAAACATTGGGCCGCCATACTCGCATCCCCAGTGTCCTGAAGGCAGCTGGAGCTTTTGGAAGAACTCGAGAGCGTTTTTGGCAGAGTCTAGAGGCGTTGCGGGCTTGGGAAGTGCTGGCAAGTCCTGTAATGTTCCATGTCAGCTTGATGTCATATATATCACGCACTCCAGATTCCAGAACATAGGAGGCGCTCCTACCAGGGGCAGCCCCAAATAGTACTTCTCCGCAAAGCTCTGGGGCCATTCTTGAGCAGCCTTATTGGTTGTCAAATAATGCCAAGTGTGGCGGCTGTCATCATCCTTCATTCGCCATCGTGAAGGGTCCGTCTTTGCTTCAATCTTGGGCTTCTTCGGAAATCCAAGCTCTGCATCGCTCGCTCTCTTGCGCGACTGTGCAGATCCAATATCTCGACCTGTTGCAGTAGCCATGTTGGCATCGCACTGGAAACGAAGCAGGGTGCGTTCCTAGAGCAGGAGAGCTTTTCGAGTGACACAATGCAATGGGACGCTCGAGCTGCTGTGTGGTGATAAAAAAAGAAAAGGCACACGTGCAGTCCAGGAACGCGCTTCCAGCTGGCTGTCGGCAGGCAATCTAACAGAATTGATTGATTGATGGGCGACACCGACGTGGGTGCGGAGTACCTGTGAGGCTCTGACACGTACAAGCGGGGCCTCGGGCTCTTTCGAGAGTTCCGCTGTCCTTCGTAGTTACTGCTTCCCAACCCCAATCAGCACGAGCAACATCATAGCATGATGCAAATCAGTCCAACAAGTATCGTCCCATCTCTCCGAATCCAGACAGCACTGCACTGATGATGAAATCCAACAGCCAACAAGAGAGCCAGGTCAGCTCTACACCGACGGCACAATCCAATCATGCCGGCGCTGCGATATCACAAATTGAAAGTGTTTTCGAGTCCGTCATCAACAGCCTGCTCCGCAATGAACCAATGAGCATCCCACTCGCGTCTCGCAGGAGTCTACGCCGTCATCAAGGCCATGTGCCTTTGAGACAGGTTCTGTTCCCTGGTCGTTCAGCTCAAGAAGCACAGCGTTTCGGTATCCAAACTCATTGAAAAAGCATTTGTTGGCTTCTGGCTCATCCTCGCTAGCTCGTATTGTCTTGATTCTGCAGTTGGCCCATGATGCTCTCGTGTCAGGCACAGTATTGACCAAGCGGTTCGTGCCGAAATTGCAAGACAATCGGGTATCCCAAACGCTAACCTGGAGCAATAAGCAACATTTTCTATCAGCATCAGGAGCTATTTGGAACGCAGCGAGCAGTCGACGAGCTAGTTGATGATGTAGCCACGACACTCGGGCTGGACCGTGATGATTTGAATATTGTTAGTACAGGCAAGTAGTCGAACGCAGCGAGACTGAAACCGTCGCAGGTTGCTTCAGCCAAGGGCATTATAGCAGGACCGCTGAAGATGCGCTTAAACGACGGTAGTGAGCTGGACGCATCCTCAGGAGAAACGGTACCTCTATCCTTCACACCAAGTCGGCTTGCTCTCATAGTGATAGGGTGTTGTCATTCCGCCTTCCCGGTCCATTCAGAGCATCGATGTTGGGCCGCTTCAGTGGGTCCTTGTCATTGAAAAAGATGTACGTCGCCGTCTACGCAATCGCCCTTGGCAGGTCAGGGCCCTGATTACAATTAGGCGACATTCAGATCCCTCGCATCGACGCTATACTGGGAAACGTCTGCCGGTGGCAGTGGACTGCTAGTAACGGTGCCTGACCCAATACATCGCTGACAATCCAAAAATGGATCTGACTAATTGTTGTAGGCAAAAGGGTATCCAGACATGGTTACCCGTTCGTTTCTGCATTTGTTGGGGAGGCAGCAGCCACACATACCCATATTTATTTTGACAGACTTTGATCCCTATGGACTCCAGATTTTTCGCTGCTACTTTCACGGGTCAGGTAATATCCTGACGGATTCAACTGTCGACAATCCATCCGTCAGGTGGTTAGGTATTAGGTCGAGTCACTTGACAGCCACGGACACTGTGATCCCGACCGCCTTCAGAAGAGGCAGCAGTCAGTCCTCACCGCCATGGAGTAGCGCATCAGATATCACTTCGTCAGAAGCCCAAAGTGCAGCTGTGGCTCTTACAATAAGAGACCGGAAAGTGATTATAGATTCCCTTAAAACATTGGAAACTGAGGACTCGGTCACGACTAGGCTGTTGAGGCGGGAGCTGCAATACATGCAAGTGCTGGGGTACAAGGCAGAGATACAGCTCCTGGATGATTCGGGGAACCTGGACAGTTGGCTGGATACGCAAATACAAAATGAGATGAATACCCTGTAGCCTACTAGTAACCTCCATTAAATCACACTACGATTTTCCCTCATTTTTTGGTCCATCGTCAATCAACCAAGATTAGGACCAAGTTCCCACCTACCCTACAGTAAATACACTGGTCTGGCCTGGGTCTTACGGTGCGAGAACTGCAGGACAACAAAACCGCACAGTCCCCTCACTACAAACAAAAATTTGTGAAATTTTTGTACATCCGTTGATTAAACCCAATTGACCATGGCGCCGAGACTATCGGATGATGAGATTGATGATCTCATATACTACGCTCGAGCTGGAGAAACTGATGAACTGAAGGAGTCTCTTGCCGCGTTAGCAGAGCGAGAGAAGGTGTCACACGCCGAGATCTTGATTGCGGCCAGAGATGAAGGCAAATCGACAGCCTTGCATATGGCAACTGGAAACGGCCACCTGGGTATGTTGCAATGAAATGAAAAAAAAAAGGCCTGCAACCAGATGGCCGGGTTTTGGACTTGCTCCGTAATTGCATCACAAAACACTGACTGTCACACTCAGAAACTGTACGGGAATTGATTCACTGCTTCGATGGCAGGCCAAAAGAAGAAAAGCAGGCGTTCATCGATGAAGCTAACGAGCACGGAAACACTGGCTTGCATTGGGCAGCCCTTGGTGGCCATCTCGATACCGTTAAACTTCTAATGGACCATGGCGCTTCACCGGCCTTGGCAAATGAGAGGAATTACGTTCCGCTGGACCTGGCCAATTTCAACGATAAGCGAGAGGTTGCCAAGTATTTCTTGGAGTCTGCCGGCATGCTTGAAGACGACAACGAAGAGAGCGGACTGGCCAACGCTGCCGCGTCGATTGCGCTCGATGGGGATGAAGACGATAAGGAGCAGGAAAAGGCTACATAATGCAACACGGCCTGTCATATCACATGAGCAGCGCAAAAAGGAAGGTCCTTCATATCTTTGGTACTGCGACAGACCAAAACGATGGTGGTGGTGATGGACCCAACCCACACCAGGGGAATACATACGTTACATTTTCCCAGGATCTGGCAGCAAAAATCAGATGAACGCAGCAACCACGGAAAGAGACGACGGGAAGACGAAGAAAACCCTCCCCCAAAAGCAAATAGAGACGAGCTGAAGACGAGCATTTTTTCCTTTTCTTTTCAGGGATATATCATTAGCCAGGGACAACGACTTTGAGGTGCTTGCTAGGCCGTCCTCTCTTGCCGTGTTATGAATCACACATTCGATAGACGATGCAGACTTTTGCAATCAAAAATAACGTCAAGAAGCCTGTTTTGTAAGGTGGTGTCCTTACCCCGGAGTGGCAATGTAACAAGTCCAACTGAGGGTGGCCAGTGGATTTGGTCGTGCACGACAAGTGATGCCCAAAGGGACCATGGACACTAAACGAATAGCGGAGGCATATTGAAAGCTCCGGGCCAAAGAATACTTAAGAGTTATGAATTCTCTCTTTGGACGCGGCCTGGTATCGTGGCTGATAGTAACCAGGCATGACAAACCTCGCGTGAGCCTTTTGCTGGGCGCGGGCAATTTGTCATTGGCAGCCCTCGCCGGGTTGGTTCCGAACGAAGCTCTGCTCTTGCCGCCGCACCACTGCGTGGGACGTGGGGGTCAACCCCGAAAACGCGAATATTGGCCAGACCCTTGACGCAACATCTTCCAGTCTGCCCAAGTTTCTTCATCATTGCATTGTTCCTGCACGCCTCTGGATCGAAATTGCCGATTGCGGTACATGTTTCGACGGGATTGTTTCGGCTCCACTGCATGCAGAGCTGGCTGCTGCATTGCATGTTTGAACGTCCGAGGATGGACTCAACACAGACGTCGGCTGCGAAGAGTTCCACGCCAATGAGCGGAGGATATAAGCGTGCAAGTCGGAAGGGTGCGCCGAGACGCTTTCCTTGCGAGCATCTGGGTTGCGACAAGATTTATTCGAGGGCCGAGCATTTGCAACGCCATCAATTGAACCGTGAGACTGCCCCCCGCGTAACCCCCATGGCCTTGCGATGCATCCCACGGAGAATGTTCTTCTTCTTATTCTTTCAGCTTTGCTGATGTGCTCTTTCTTGTGTCACTGACAAAAAGATAGACAACCCCAAGGAAGTATTCAGGTGTGACATTGGCGATTGCGGCCAGAAGTTCGTCCGCCTGGACTTGCTAGCCCGTCACAAGAAACGGCATACCTCTTCATATACGCCCCGGAACAGAGTCCCCAGCTTTGAAATCGTGAGAGACTACACGGCGCCGTCGAATGCAGAAAAGGAGAACTGTAGTCGTACTGGTCCCAGCCGTCACTCTTTTGGTCACCACCCCGTTACAAGTGGTCCGCACGATGCAGCTATCCTGTTGACACCGGAATCCAACACCGATCCCACGCCTACTTCACTGCCGCATCCCCGTGTGGCAAGTACAAAAATTCAATCACAGCCGTCATGGAGGTCGCGCATTCACGAGAGAGCGGCTCGTGCATCCCTTGTTCCACATGGACAGCATTTCTTCGGCTCAGAGGCCCCCAGTCTTGGTGAACCAGCCGCCATAGTGGCATTTCAGAACGTTGGATATGGAAATGACGACCAGTTGGCGCAGAGCAACTTTGCGGCGTGGCTCTTTGACCCGCAAACATCATGTAATGACATTAATGTTGCGAATCTGCCGTTTCTCGAAGGTGGACTGGAGTCAACATTCAACAGCAATATTCATTATGACTACGAATCACTCGCCAGTCTATCCCCGATGGATTATGCAAGTCGTCATAGCGACATACCTGATGACTGGATAACAGAGTCACGTCGACGAGATTTGCTCTTCTGGTTCCACATTTTTCGAAAAAAACAACCTAGGTACGAAGGCTCAATGCCAAACCTGGTCCAAGAAAGTGGCGGCGATTTGCCGGCTCTCAACCTCGACATGATGCGGGACTGCTTAAAAGAGTTTTGGGACGCCGTCTCCCCCAGGCTTCCAATTGTTCACCAACATACCTTTTCCCCTAATCGATGTCCAATCTTTCTGCTGCTCGTCATGATTTCTCTCGGCGCTGCTTCCCTAAGAAGCCGTGACACAACAGGTCAATTGAGAGAGTACGGCGCTTTTGCTGATGTCATCATCTGCAGCGTGCGATGGGAAATATTGACTTCAGAAGACTCCTCCCCCCCTGTTAGGCTATGGGCTGCCCAAGCATTACTACTTGTTGAGTTGTACGAAAAGCTCTACAGTACAAGACGATTACACGAACGAGCACACATATACCACCCCGCGTTTCTAACATTACTACGGAGAGGAAGCCCCCTGATAGGCAGAACAGGTAGTGAATCTCCAGAAGAACCTGAAGATGCCCGGCCGGATCGACCTACACCGACGTCGGGAATAGTCCTCGACTCCAAAACATGGTGGATTCGATGGGCAAAAACGGAGTCAATGCATCGCGTCGTCTTTGCTGCCTTCATGCTGGACACCATTCACGCCGCCATGTTTGGCCATGCGGCTGACATGGCAGCCCACGAAATCCGCCTGCCGCTTCCCTGCGACGACAACCTCTGGACAGCCAGTAGTCCAGATGTCGTTCGTCAACTTGACGCCAATTTCCGCATGTATGGTGTCAAGCAGGTCTCCTTCCTCGACGGCCTTAAAGCCGCACTTCATGGGAAAGAAGTCAAGACGCATTCCTTTGGCCGCATGATTGTCATTTGTGGCCTCCTCAGCTTAGGGTGGCACCTATCACACCACGAAACACACCTAAAATGGCTTGAAATTCGCGGACAGTCTCCCGAAACACACGATAATCGGCGCAAGCTGCTTCTCAATGCCCTTTGCAGCTGGAAAGAATTCTTCGATGTTGCCATGTCCGACTCCGTTACTGACACACCGGATCACTGGCCAGTACCAAATGGTCCCATCAACAGCGCGTCTTTACTTTTCCATCTTGCACATATCAGTCTGCATGCGGACATTATCGACTGCCAAGTATATGCAGGTGCTCGGCGACTTCTCGGTCGCAAGGTCTCAACGACAGACTACACCAATGCCGCCAAGCGTATGAGTTCATGGGCGAAGCAATCATCTACTCGGCGTGCTATTTTGCATGCATTCAAACTGCTCTACCATGCCCTCGTAGATCCCCATCCTCGAAGAAGGTACACTCCCTATCCGGACTGCCCGGCTGTCCAATATTCTATTCGGAACGAGATGGATCCCCACCGGCCCTGGATAATGTATTACTCGGTCTTGGCAATTTGGGCATTCGTCCAGGCGGTCGGCAGACCTCCAGGTAAGGGATTCCCATTGAGGGCCTCGCAAATGACACAGAGTACATATGCTCGGATGGCGGAGTATCTGTCTGGGGTGGCAGCCCTACAGGAACTGAACGAGACAACCGTGGCAAGCCTACACGAAGGACTTCCTGAGTTATTGGAGACGATGGAGGGCATTCTGGAGGAGGCGCATACGGAGTTGTTGGTCGAGGCGAGGGAAAGACTGAGTTTTTGCAGGGAAATACTGTTGGGAGGGTCCAGATGGGTAAGTGATTAGGGAGCGGATAATACTGTTCGATATGTGGTCAGCCCGGATACTCTGATATGCTCCGCCCAAAGATCTTACTTAGCCATGGTAGGGTGTAAAACCTCGTAGCCCGCTCCAAAGCGATCTACATGACCACGACGACCTGACATCCCATGACAATGCTCGACAGCTCAGCGTGTATAGCGAATGATGCTGCGGCATCAGTGAGGGAGGCCGCTGGCCTTGGACACAAGGACCCCGACATTATGCTATCTCTCAGAGCGCTCAATATGTGAGAGGGAGAGTTACTGACATTACCAGAGTACGATATTGACAAATTCGACTTTACAAATCCACGCGGGCTACATGGCTTTGAGTCGTGTGAGCAATGCAGTTCTCCCTCATATCTTACCTTTAGCATGGGCATTCAAAGCAAAATTTTGTACAAAAGAAGCATAATGCCTTGTTCATCGCTTCTCAACACTCTGGCTTCATTTGTCGTCCGAGGAGCAAATCACACAAGCCTGACAATGTACAATGTTGTTGGAGTCACTCCTGCCTTGGCAGGCATCGTTCGACAAGAGCTGAAGAAGCACCGAGCCATTCAATTTGTGTCATTCTGTTTCATGGTGTTTCCCAGCTAACGATATCACGGGACGGTCCCAGAATCACAGGATAATATTAGGCCAAAGAACGCCTGTAACGCCGGTGCAGACATCAACTATGCTGGTCCCGTCAAATCGTGCCCGGGTCAGTATTGAAATAACAGTGACAGCTCAACCTGATACATGTTAGCCCGCGGTGTCTGTCAACGCCCACGGGGGCTGATCGGATTGGTATCCAGGCGCCTCTGTCAGTGCAATTTCTGGGGATGGGATGCCATGTTGCCATAAGAGATCAAGTAAATGATCATCCCGCAACGGCTCAGATTTGGCGGTGGCGTGGTAAGTGCCCCTCCTCACTATATTCTTAATCTCGTTACCGTTCAGTTTCCAGCTCGCCAGCCACCCCAATGCTTCAGGGTCAGTGCGAACAGAGGATCCAAAGCACGGCATGACGTTGTCTAATAACGACTTCCACACCTTCTCCCTCGTCGACTTGTCCAGGGGGCCGCAGTCTACCGTCAGGGAAATTTTTGACTCGAATGTTTCGTCCATCTCCTGGATAAAGCTGCTGCTAAAGAGAACCACGCCCTTGAAATGATCTAAACAATCCAGCAAAATGGACTTCATTTCGCGCATCTTGGTGTCACTCGCGACACACTGTCGTAGAAACTCATCGCTTTTGTCGATAAGCAGGACGGCATTCCAATTATCCAGCATGTCGAGAGTCACATTCAGCGTATCCTTCATGTTGAAGGTCACGGCGATGAGGTCGTTTGCGGTCAAGGTGTAAAGGGGCACGTCAATCGCATCGGCGATAGCTTCAGCCGTGTACGTCTTGCCGGTCCCGGGGCCCCCGCGGAGGTGTATGACCACGCCTTTGGAATTGTAGTTGAGGGTGCCTTCGGAGTACTCCCTCATGAAGATGTGCTGTTTCGTGGCGGCCAGGATGCTTTTTCTGTCCGCGACAGCCAGTGACTCGAGCGCCCGGGTCCTCCCTCGGGGAAGAATACAGTTGGTGAAGAATCTCATCCATCGCCGGTTGCTAAAGGAGTAGCCACAGACCGTAGGAGACGTGTAGATCAGCTGGTCTTCGGTCAGAGGTTTCTCAGCTTCGGCACTGGATGTCGCGCGGGTGGTTCCCCCTCTGTACCAGGCGCGCCAGTTGAGGCTGCGACGCCGTTCATCGTCGGCATCATCGACTCTACTACATTGCGTGGCCGTCAGCGGACGGAGGGTCGGGCCATTCCCAGGACTGTGGATTGCCCACGTCGCCCAGTCGAGTATGATGTCGCCTTTGATGCGAATCCCGGTCATCTCCGGGCAGTTGTACTTGTGGTACAGGGCCACTCCTTCGTAGTGTCTGTAGGAGTAGTTCTGAAGCTTCTCGAACCCCTCGCCCGATGTGCGCAGTTGCTGCCGGATGCCCGCAGAATCACGGCCGTACTGGAGCGGAAAGTACTCGAGGGAGGCCAGGGGCTTCTCGCCAACATATTCACCAATCTTGACCTCAAATAGATTCCAGCCCTTGATCGCATTCCTGTCGATGTTCTTGCAGGAAAGAACAAAGAATGTGCCCTGCGGAGTGTCTCTATAGCTCCCGTTTATGAAGACGGCCCCGGCATACATGCCATTCACCTTGCCGGCGACGTCACAACCGGGAGCGAAAATCATCCACAGTCCATCGAAGGGAACGGACCTCTGCCTGATCGAGATGCCCATCCTGCGCATCAGGACGCACAGCTCCTTCTCCATAATGTCGTAGAGGAGATTGACGAGCTCTTGGGCATCAGGCTGCTGGCCATCCGCATCCCTGGCCGCCTTGAATGCGTCCCACCGATGGAGGAAGCACCCGAACGGAGCCTCCAGCTCGACCTGCGCCAAGTCGGTCCTGTACTCGGGGTAGCCTCGAAATCTCTCGTCCAGAACATCCAGCAGGTGCGGCGACTGGATGACGACGCTGACGAGTTCAAACGTGTTGCGGTCTGCCTTTTTGCACTTTTCTGTCAAACCATGGCCGTTAGCCGCCGCGCACGCACGCCGAGTCCCATCAACGACGGCCCTGTCCAACTTACTGATGATTGCGAAGCTTTGCAGCTGCTCGAGGTCCGTTACCCGTTTCCCACCTCGTCCCTTCTCCAGTGACCAAAACTCTTTGCCTTTTCTGTTGGTCTTGCGGTAGAGCGTCTGGACTCTGGGCACCATGCCTGCAGGCCCGCCTTCCTTTCCGCCCTCCTCCTCGCGCCTCGCGACGGCAGCGTTGTCATCTACGGAGGCAGAGCTGCCCCCCTTGGCAATGTCGCGTCCCTCCATTCTGGGCGTCGTGAAGTGTTCGCGGGCCTCTGAAGCGTGAGATGCCGACAACCAGCGTCTTGCACCTGTCTCCAGGCTATGTATATGCGATATTGCCGAGGAAAACGGTGGCAAAGTTTTCAAAGCTTCAAAGTCTCAAAGTACGACTCGACAGAGAGATTGCGACGAAGACGAACCGGTAAAAGGTAGCCAAAGGTGAAAGGCAAAAGGCAAAAGGTGTAGAACGGTGAACCGAGATGGCGCCCAGGAGCCAATTTATAGTCGACAAAGAGAAACAGACGCACATGAACAAATCGCCAACGCAGACACCGCCAGATCCGGGGTCCCCTCGAACGCGGCCCAGACTGCAAATACACACCAGGCATTGTGATCTTCGCCGAGCCTCACCAGACCGCGGCGATCAAAGCTCGGCGATGGCCTCGTTTGACCACCACGTCTAGGCCCTGACCGGGACGAGTACGCGCAAAGTCTCGACGAGGCAGACAGCTTCGGCGCGGGCCGGCGTTGCGAAAGACGTACAAACGCGCTGTCGCGTTCGCCATGAAGAAGCGTCAGTCTGGCGCAGTGCCTACACGCCCTCGCCCGTCCCCGTCCGAGTCCAAGCACACCAAAGGCACCCAAGGCACCCAAGGCACCCAAGGCACAAAGAAACGCAACCCGCCTGCCTCGCCTCGCCTCACCTCAAAGAGAAACATGCTGCTCAGTGCTCCCGAGTTGGCTCGTCCTTCGCCGCGCCCACTGAACGCTGGAGAGGGAGCAAACTGCAGCGGCTCTTCACCCTCGACGTGCGAAGGATGCACAGTGGCTGGCGAGGAGGAGCAGGAATGGCGGCGCTGGTGCCGGCGCTGGCAGGACCCTCTTTCTATCCGTCAGATCGGGGCACCGGCGAGGCCGAGGAGCGTGCTTTGATGCAAGAGGTAGTTGATGGCAACACCAGTGAGTTGGGGTACTCGTCAAGAGTGTACCACGCTCGCGGTCGGGGGAAGTGCGTATCAAGACGTTAACTCTCGCCCACACTTGTATTGTAGCGACATCTCTTCCATCCAAGAGTCAGCGCGTGCTCTAACTAATACCTGAACGTAAAATATGCATCCCGAGCTGACATCATGTTGTGCTGCAGCCAAGACGAACCCGAACCCAAACCCATTCCACAAACAAACCTCATAGCGACGTCACAGCCATAGAAACACAGGCAAGGCATCAATGGAGCTTTTTGTGCTCCAGAGACCCCGTGGACTGAGGGGAGCAAAAACGTTTCTTTCTTTGAACAAACATGCCATGCTCGCATTCAACGCCCCAGCCATGCAATGCTATACCAAAATACACGCGCATCAAAGAGTCATTCGTCATGCAGCAGCGCTCAAGGCCTGCACCACAGGCTGGACAGCCTCATTCTCGCTCGGTTCCAGCTCGCCCTGCATCTGTTCCTCCGCTTCCTCCACCCTCTGCTCGACTGTTTTGCCAAAATTCTCGCCCTCAAAGTCGCCCAGCCCAATCAGGTCAATCCACTTCCAGTGGTCGACGCCGTCACTTGCGCTTCGATCGAATATGGCCTTGTCGTCGCTGGTTCCCTCCTCGGTGGACAGCACCTGGCCGTCCTTGGCACTCAACTTGTCCACGTGGACGCCGTCAATAAGATCGCCTGCATACGTGCGAGCAACGGGTATACCGTTCGCTCGGAGCAGTTGGAGTTGCGCTCGGAGATTTAGGCGCAAGGCGCGCTCTGGCTGTTCGGCGTCAAAGATCTTCTTGGTTAACCAGGGGAAGAGAATGCCGAAATCGGATTGGCTGAGATGTGCCGAGTTGACGACGTAGAAAAAATTGGGTTCGGGCAGCTTTCGGCCGCTGGGGCGCTCGAACAATTGCGGCGAAACAGTTTTGGAGGTCGGATCTGGCGACAGGAGCTTGGCTTTGACGTGTAGATGCTCGGTCCAGTTGTGGAAGGTCTCCGACTCGACGGCAAGGAGAGCTGTGCCGCCAGGTGCAGACGGCACGTCGGCGTACACGGGCAAGGGAAGGTCGTAGAGCGGCTTTGAATTAGGTGCAAGTAGAGGCAAGCACCACATGTCAAGGAGCATTGTGACGGTCTTCTCGGTAATTTGCTTTCGAATGCTGCTGTCCTTGGCGGGCGTGAAGAGAGGATTCTTCATAGCGGCGACTTGAGGAAGGTCGGCGTAATAGTTGCATTTTAGAAATTGATGCACGGTGGCGGCACCGAAGCTGTGTCCACCAAAAACAATGCGACCAGGGTCGTGGACATCGAGGCGACCGATGAACTGCCTCAGCGTTGGTGTGGTCAGGTTCATGTTGGTAAATTTCCTGCCCTCGTCAATCGCAAGGATGGCGTCATGAATGAGACCAAGCTCCCACAGTCGAACGCGCAGTTGGTCTTCACGAGCCTCATAGACTCCCGGGGCGACTTGGTGCGCGATTCGATTGTAAGGCACGATGCGACGGGCGGCTGAGGAGAAGAAGCGACCCGGAGAGTTGGCTAGCCTGATGAAGGAGATGACAGCGCTGCCGTCGCGATGTTCGGGGCAGAAGACGACGACACCGTGGGATGCCAGCGATCCAGCAATGTAGGAATACGAATTTCGTCCTCCGCCCAGTCCGTGGGAGAAGATCATCGTCGGCCATCGTTTCGTTTCGGAATCAGCAGCCTCGGCATTTTTGTGAGCCGGGATCGTGGTATAGTGAAGATGTCGAGGTAAGAATCTGTGCCGCCAGTCAGCAAACGTTGCCGTTCTCGTCTCAGAGACTAGGGTTCATACGAGAGGATTTCTGCCAAGGTTGATCCGACACCAACAAACTTGGTGTAAGCAGACACATGATGCCTCTGAGGGTTTGGCAGCCAGGTGATGCGTTTCTCGTCGGACGCGGGAGCCGCAGGATAAAAGACCCGGAACTGGACCGTTGGGATATCGACGGCGTTGGCGGGCGCCGGGCTAGGAGAGTGCAAGTCTGTTGTTGGGATCTCGACATCGACGGTGCCGACCTTGTACGGGCCGGTATACTCTGGAAACACCGGAACTGGACTGAGCCTGGCGAAATAAGAGGCCAGTTTCGAAGCCGCGGTGGCGTCAGCGGCAGCCATTGTGCGGTATGATGCGCTTGCAGTTCTACTGGCGAGAATGGCGTGACGGTTGACTGAGAGTTTTCATCGACGGTGGCGTTTGCGTGCTTTTCCGTCGCCTTGCTTGAGGAAATTGGCTACACACAAAGGAAAAAAAGACTCTATGCCGTAACAGTGAGGGCGAAAGAAAAATAGTCTTGTACGACTGAGAGAAAAAAAAGATACCAGGGAGGGTCGCTTGTCGATGATGCCACATGAGACAAGGAGAAAAGGGAAGTCAAAGTGTACGGAGGAAACAGTTTGGATTCCAAGGTTGACCGAGTGGTCTGTCAGCTTGACATGAAGCGACCAGGGCAAACGGGTCTGATTGGTGGCAGTTTCTTTCGGCCACTGTCTGGTTGGCTGATGTCTACGCAAGACCCACCCCCACTATACGTTGCAAAAATCGAAGAACAACTCGGTGCGCTCGGCTCGCAGTGACATCACCCGCGCACATCCAAAATTAGCATCTCCGACATTGCAAATTTTCGGGCTTTTTGCCTGCAGATGTTGTCACCCCCGTCCCATCGGTGCGTATATCACGGTCTCTACTGCAGTTATTTGTGCAGCCTCTGCTCTGCTGACGGCGAAATTGGCCTCGTCACCATGGCCGTGCGTAGAAAAGGGGAGACTGTCACGCGAGCACCCCGTCATTCGACTGAGGAGGCTTTTGGGAAGAAAGAAAGAACCGAGGACGGCCACTAACGATGCAGCTTGGCGAGGAGACAGCCACTGAAGCACCTTGGCTTCTTTACCGTTAGCCTATTCCGCCACCTAGGGCCGCACAAGACAATCCTATTGGCCGTTCGGAGACGCCGCCGGACAAAGATCGTGATAAACAACGAAAAGCTAGCGCTGGCAGCCGCGTGGCTGAGGGAGAAATAAGACACCAACCAGACCAAGCATTGGGCTACATGGGAAAATATTATGCCGAAGCATACTTGTTCTTACTGTCAGCCCTAGCACCTAGATTCCCCTGGTTATGGCGCAATTCCAGACTCAGCTGCGTGGTGCACTCGGGCCAACCACAGCCAGGCATGCGCCAGCCCTCAATGGCCTCCCGGGGAGCTGAAGATGCTGAAGCCTGCCAATCGTCGTGTCATCATGTCTGAAGTCCCTCGCATCTGCTCGTAATAAAGTGTCGACCGTGACTTTGGCGGCCCTCGCAGCAAACCCTCGCGGACAAGATTGGAACAATGCTAGTTGCAGATGGGAGCCACCTAAACAAATGATGAATAAAAATTGGTCGCCAATCAATGTTACGACAAGGTGGTCATGAGCATCGTCGCCGAGATAACATCTCCTCCTATGCAAATGAGGCTCGAGAGGCCCGTCCTAGTCGGGCCAAGACACATAGGATGGACTGCGTGAAGCGACGAGCGTCGGCTTGACATGTTGACGAGGCCGCGGCAGCTGATTTATCTCATGGAACGTTCCAAGCCGCTGCGACTCCAGACATATGAATCTCTAGTATCAGCAAGTCATCCACGCACATGCCATCATCACGCCGCTACTGGTACACTTGTCCTGTGCGGATAGGTAGATTTGATGCAAGAATGTAGTAAATATAAGCGGAGAAAACAAACGGAGCGCCCACGACGAGAGGGCTGCTGCATGCCGATGAAAAGTCACGGCCGACTAGTCTGCATCTTCCTCTAGGGGAATGCGGTGTGGCGGGTGACACATGGGACGACAGATTCTGATATTCAAGCATGACTGGTAGCCTTTGGCAAAATAACCTCAGTCTTCACTCCACTGCCATCGACTTGGCGGGCTCCAGTGTCGTCTAGACTCATCTATTTTGGGTGTGCCAGGAGCAATCTTGTGGACATCCATCCAGAGGAATTCCGGGCCGTCTTGAACTAAAATGTTGATACCCCAAGGGCAACTCATACAAACGGCGTTGCGCTTGTTGCTACTGACCTCAAAATGCGGTCAACACGAGAAATGGACTCCAAGGTTGGAGGTTTCTTTCATGAACCACGCTCCGTTCATCTCATCATCCACGTCACTCCGTACCCGACGCACGCGATAATACCAGCAATCAGCATCCATCTCCGGAGCGCCCGCCGAAACTGTTTCGCGGCCGACCTCGCAATGGCCTCCCCATCGTTGACCCTCGGAAATGGCACGTTCGGCACGTCGACGCCCAAGATCTCGCAGAGGGGGCCCCAGCCATCCCGGACGTCAAAAAACACCAATCTTTTCTCCGGCACGACCTCTCTCAGCCACTCCATGTGCCTGTGGTACGTAGCCTCAGACGGTGACGCCGTCTCCCCGTAGCGGCCGTGCCACTGGTCCTTGACCGTGTCGATGAATGCCGGGAAGTATCTCAGCGACGGCATGGGCAGGAAGAGAATTCTCATGAACCACTTGGTCGCCGCGTTGCCCACGACGGCCATGCTCTTCTGCCAGGACTCCACGTCGCGCACTGTGCAGGTAACCTTGGCGTCAGGATACAGCTCGACCAGTTCCTGTACGTAGTTGAGGCCAGGGTAGTCGGTTGTGGCGACGAAGCCGCGCAGGCGACCGGCGATGAGGGACTTGACAGATTCGCGGGAGGCCCGCGTCGAGGGCGGCCATTGCGCCGCGACGCGCAGCCAGGTCTTCACCTCGTGCTCGGGACCGAGTGTGATTTGCGTGCCGCCGTGGTATACGGGCCCGTCGAGGAGGATCGCGAGGGCCGCGGAGAAGGAGGCCGTCCCGGTGCGCGGGAGACCGGCGCCTATGACTTGAAATTTGGCCCCGGGGCTGGGCGCCGAGTACTCCTGGCCCATGGTGAAGATGAAGATGCGAAGTTGGGCGGAGAGAGAGCGTGGCACGGTCGTTTGCGCGCCTGTTGGTTTGTCTCAGCCGGTGAAGTCACCTTGTCTCGCCCGAGGCTCCGAATCTTTGAGGCCGTGACTTGTCGATGCTGCTCGGCCGGGTTGCCGCTGCCAACGTTTACAAACTATATGACATGTGTCCAGAAGGACTTGGATGCTAGCAGCAAGGAATAATGACTACGTAGTAGACGGACAACGGACAACCGGGGTGTCAAGGGAAAGTGGAGTGAGTCATATGACCTTGTAAAATAACGGGCATTATTGTAGGGCGGACTTGGCCAGAAAAACTTGGAGAGAATAAGTATTCATATGACATGGTGCCTATTAAATTGTTATATTTTAGTAGTAGCTAGCTGCGAAGCTAGGCTGTGAGCAGAAAGTAAGACAAAGGTGAGTTGAAGCTGACGATATATACCGTTGCAGCTAAATACTAGGATGTGATGGACTACGGTGGTTTGCCGGACCCTCTTGGCCCCAACCATTAATCGTGCCCGCCCCACTTTATGTGGTTCGGCTAGCAAAAGCCCCAATCTCCTGTACTACGTGAGGTAAGAATCCCCTTCCCACAGCGGTAGCGGTCGACGGGGCTCCCAACTTGCCGCCGCCGCCCCTGCTTACGCCTTGTCAGCACCCTCATGCTTCACCGCGAGTACTTCCCCTTCCTGCCGACCCCGGAGTCGGAGCCACGGGGTCCAGTCGACCAGCCCATGCTGGGGGCGCCCGCCCCCGAGGGCTGGTGGGACGACAGCTCCCGACTCCTCTTCGGCGCGGCAGAGCACATCGCCGCCATTCTACACGAGGCCTCCGAGTGTGGCGTGCATCTCATGACGCCCTTTGCCGGGTTCTGCGCATTCTCAGCCGGCTACCTCAACCTCTACGTGGCGAAATACCCCCGAATGAACCTGGGCCGCAGCCCGCGAGCAAGCGACTGTCTCAAAATGTGTCTCGACTACCTGGAAAAGTTTCGACTTGTCTGGAAAATCGCCGACGGATGGGTAAGCCGCCCGCAAGCATGACACGACCGTGGCCACCGTTGCGCTAACATTGAGAGGGCGGCACGCGCAAGATCAAAACGATACACCATGCATCCGTGCTCTACGAGCGAGCAACCGAGGACCGGACACGATACCAGGGGCGCACACGAGCAGACTTTGATACTCTACACCAGTCTGTCCACGAGTTCCGTGTCGTGGATAGATCCGACGCGCATACTCGGGAGATTCGGGGCGCGGAGCGGCCCTCGGCGCAGGCGACTTGGCCGGTTCAAGGGCACGAGCACGAGCACGAGCACGAGCACGAGCTCGACACTAATACCTTGTTGAACCAGCTTTTCGCGGAAGTCAGCAATAACCTCGACGAGCAGGGGGCCTGGTCTCAATGGTGGCCGGCGATTGATCAGGTGGATCTTTAATGAGCTGCGTAATTACATCCGGGGTTTTTTTTTTCGTTGAAGCTTCCAATGAATGAGTGACGACCTTTGATTTTTTTGATTTTTTTTTTAAAAAGGGCTGTAATATCTGGTTTTCTATACATGTCCTATTTTTATTTCCCGGTCTAGAAAAACAGTCAACAGATAATGCACCTCTTCATATGGCTCCCCTCCCGTCACCGCCAACAAATGCATACCTGTCGCGTCAACCATTCGCCGTTTCTCCTTCCAATCACGCCTTTGCAAAGACCTTTCTCGAGTTCATCAGGCGAACAGCAAGCATAAAGAGCATGCCGACAAAAGGCGCCACAACCACGCCAAGAGGACGTTTTTTGAAGCAGCTAAAAAGGCACGTAAATGGCGTCTGGATTCTGTACTAGATCTACTAGAAATTTGGGACGAGAAGGGTGTACATTATAGGCGAAGAGGTTAATAGCGTTATTAGGTTGAAAATTGGCCCGCCTTGGTGTCCGGCCCGCCTTGCTGTCGAGCACCACCTTTGGTGGTGAGGGCTTTTGCTAGCCGAACCACATAAAGTGGGGCGGGCACGATTAAGCCAAAAGAGTACGTAATGAACAAGCTGCCCTAAGCTCGCTCATCTGGCACTATACAAGTTAGGTCACAAAGGGGTAGGCTATGTCCCGCTCGCTAGGTCGAGCATAGCTCAGACCATAACACTTAGTTGGCTAGAAAAACTTAGAGAGAATAAGTATTAATACAACTTAATGCCTGTTAAATGCATTCTGCTTGATGGGCAGGTGTCGTCGGTAGCTAGCAAGCTGGACGTGACCGCTTCATATAGAGCTCTTTAGCTCGTATTATCCAGCGAAAACTAGCATCTTGCATGGCGCAGCAGCCTCCGTTTTGTTTACTGTTTGCTAATCTTGAGAAACTGCCATACAAGGCCACTGGAGACGTGTCACTAGTGATAGAAATCAGTGATTACAGAGTGGTCCTCGCGGCACCGACACAGACGACTAAGCAAGGAATCACGGCCCGAGGAGGACAGTGTACGTTGCCGATTCTATTGCCCTGTCTGTCCTCGTGTTTCCAATACGTTATAACTTATGGGCAAATCCTATGTCTCTCCACATCCACATCCACATGCATGCAAGACTCGGCGCCAAGGTCACACGTACGCCTCCCGCTTCACCCCTCGTTTTTCCCCCTCAGTTTCAACCAGTCGACGTTTGATGGCATTTCCGGCCGTGACCGTCAAGTAATAAGACTAGGCTCGTGGGAGCAGATAGCCATGTGCATTGGCGAGACACGCTGCCTCCCACCCACGACATGGCATTCTTAGATCCCTTTTTTGCAAGAGTCATGGGCGTCTTTACCCATCTATTCCAAACCTACGCCTACCGGAGAGCAGCGGTCGACCAAGGCGTGATTCCGGCGACTCGCAACTCTCGGCAGGAGACGGTCCCGGATGCAGACTACTCGGAGATATTTCCACCATCGCGGCGGCATACCGTCTCGGAACTCCTTTGTACGCCCGAGAATGATGTCGACGACGTATCCGTGCCCAACGGGCCGCTTCTGAGTATGGAGTCGGACTATCGTCACGCTGATCCTTTGACCAAACTGTACAGCGGCTTCACCGTTGGTGATGTCAAGGCGTTGGGAAGTTTCCCCGACTATGCAAAGCTGTCCGGCGTTCCCGCACCTGCGTCTCTTCAGAATTTCAACATCGACACCGCTCGAGCAAGACCCTACCGGCCATTCAGATGGCCATATCACCAAACCATGTGTAAGTAACCATGTGCGCGTTGACAACAATCACAAGCTCACTACTGGATGCTATCCTCACGCCAGCATTACAAAGACTCGACCCGGATTATTGGCTAGAGTTGGAGAGCACCTACCGCGACCGCATAGCTCAGCGTCGCCGTCTTTACCAACAGCACGGCAAAGACGTGCTGCAAGCCCTGCCGGGGTCAGAGCTCGCATGCAAGGAGCTCATGGAGATGGCTTTGCAGTATCTCACGCTGAAATACCCGCACCAGTTCCAACTCAGGGACAACATGTTTGTGAATCGAATCCTCGACACGACACACGACCTGTCGGCCGCGGACCCGCTTCACGTCCTGCTGGACAACCTGCCGGAAGACTTTGCAATGACGATGCGCGACGAGAAGACCGGACGCTACTGCTTACGAGCTGGCATGATTTGCTCCGCTCTTGGCTGGAATCTGGGAGAGAAGATGGGCAGGGGCCTGCCCGGCGTCCACAAGGGGGTGCCCGGCTACCAGGAGAAGCTGGCCTTGAGCGTGGATCGGTGCGTACCGGCGAGAAGAGCCGCTGGAGCAGTCACTGACGCCTTGCCGCAGCTTCTTCACCAAGATGCCGGCCTCGAGCCCGATCCAGAGAGGCTCCTGGGGCTTCGAGGTCGGCCAGCCGCTGTTCCTGCCCGCCGACCATGCCGACTGGGGCCGTCGGAGCGTCCAGGACGAATCGCTGCGTGAAGGAGACGTATATCTCCGAGTGGACTGGCAGACGCTGCGTCGGCTGCCGCTCTCTGGGGCCGTGGTCTTCAACTTCAAGGCCCTGTACACGCCTCTCTCCGAGTTTGTGGACGAGCCGTACATCCCGTCCCTGGTCCTCAAGGTGCTGAACGAGGGCGACGAGGCCGTGATGAAGTACAAGGGCACTTGGCACGTCGAGCATGTCGTGAAACCCGCGCTGGCGAGATATGAGCGGGCACAGCTGGACAAGGGGTTGATTGAGAAGGACTGGGAGGCACGAACGCTCGACGAGAGCCCGTTCTTTCCCGGGTGGCGGAGGAAGTGCCCCTAGCGGTTCAGTACCTCGTGCCTTGCTTGATCTCATCGCAGGTGGCCGGCAAGGCGTCGTCGTTTACCTAGGCCGACGGACTATTTGAGTCACAACTCGACCGGTCACTCGGCGGGCGAGAGGTGTCGGCGACTTGTGCAACTTGGATCTGTTGTAGCACGAGCGTCGGCTTTCAACTCAGCAGTCGTCCATCAGCAAGGTCCAACTACCGGTGGGTGTTTCTGTCGACTCGACATCGGGAACATGACCGCCAGAATCCCGGCCGAGTGTCGATGACGCCGCGTGGCTTCAAGACATTGTAGAATGAGAAACAAATAGTTCATAGACGGCTCGCACCCGAACAATATGACCAAGACTTGCAGAAACCAACCAGGTTAGCATAGGTTGTGAGCACGACTTGCCGAGACGGCGACAAAATCATCACAGACAGTGTTTCATTGTTTCGGGAGACTCATGTTCTCAAGCAGCACAGCAGAAGCCAAAGTACGACCCTGGGCGGCGGAGCAGGGCGCCAGGTTTCTCCCGACGAACTCGGTCATCAAAACTGCACAAACCCATCATGTGGCATCCTCGTACCGTCGTAATTCCAGCCTTGCCCGCCTCTCTGGTCATTCAACTAGTAACGGAACAATTATCTGAGTAGGCCGTCGGAACAGCCCGAAACTACTCGGGCATGGTGGCGGGATTACATCCGTAGTCCCCCGAATTTGACAACATAGTCCTGCATTTGCGTCAAATCACCATCGTGTCTTGTCAGCCAGTTGCGTCAGAGTTGTCCGAAAGCCGTGTCTTGCAACAGACTTGGCTTTCGGAACGGCACGACACCAAATCATGGGTTTTCAAGGCCCGGAACTGTCGGCAGCCCATCCTGTCGGCAGACGCCCTCTTTCCTTTGACTAGTTTTGAACAAATCAGTTTGACGTTTGCTCTCACGTCCATCGTTTTGCAACACGGCTCTTGACAGCCACCACTACTCTGTTGAGTCCAAGAACCCAGCGTACTGCCGACCAGGGAACTCGGCTGGCCTTTGCCGAGCAGGCTTAGTCGATGCGTTACCCACGTCCAAGACACCGGAAGCAGAGCGGTTATGAGTTCCCGCCGAGCCTCTGTTTTTCATCCGACTCACGATGGGGACTCGGGAGAACTCATGAGGGCAATTGGCTCCTTCACGCTCGCCCTGACGGCAATGTTCCTGTCACCCTTGACCGTCTACCCGGGTGACCCAGATACTGTAAGCGCCGACTATGGACCATGGTCGTCAGTCGAGCCAGCGAGCAACTATAAAGATGGACCGTGGTCCCGAGAGCCCAGAGATTTACCTACCAGATCAGCACCGTCAGTCTTCCTCGATCAACATCACACATCTTGACTACTCACCAGTGTTCTTTCGAATCGCCATTCTCAAAATGAAGTTCGCCGCCGCCATCATCTGCCTCTTCGCCGGAGTCGCTCTCGGCACTCCCTTTGAGCCACGGGCGCCGGCGTGCATTTGCTGCATGAATGAACGGCCATCGTGCGACGAGGGCACGGTTGGTTCACAACTCTCAAAGGCATCCATCTAGCTTTGCTGTGCTGACAAGGATACCATAGGTTAACACCGGCGGCGTAAGTCACTCCGTCGACGATCGTAGGACCGGGCTAACTCGTGGACCAGCCGGGATGCTGGGGAGAATGCATCAGTATTTAAGGCCCCAAGATAGACCGCAGAGGCCCTCGGCATCTTACCTTCTCGGGACAAAAACTAGTTACTCGCCGCAGTGTCTGGGCGCAATGTCCGGAGCTGTACGGGACTCTCGTTGAAATGTTCACCCTTGGGTCATGCGCTAGTTTTACTTTGAATACAACTTTATGCTTTTTTAATCCGTAGAGTCCGCAAATGAAGCCTATTCGTACACTATGCTGAGAATCCTGTCAAAGACCAAATTTGGTCGGCAAGTCCAGATGCCATGCCGCAAAGGGACGCCTTGTGAACTTCGTGTGCAGAGCTTAGCGGAGTTCCATGCAAGTCTGCGCGAGTACGAATTACTGCCCTGGGTATGAAATCCACGGTGCTTCCCTCTCGACGTTGCCACGTGTGTGTGCCCGCATTTGTTATCCCCTCCTCGTACATGAACTACCCACAAGTACAACCATCTTGACCCGTGTTTATCCTCGTGTCTTCTCGTGTTTTTGGTTGCTAGCACCAATCGATCACCACACCTCACTTGCCCCCGTTGTCCCGTTGGGGAAATGCCCTTCAAGGCTGTCCACAGCACTAGTGAAGTCATAAGAGTCAGAGTCGGGTCAGAGATGACCTGGACATCTGTCCACCAAGACCAAAGGCTTGGCCATGTATGGTTTGACGTACCGCTCAAGCCACGTGTCGGCCGCTCAAGTACAAACTTCTCCGACGCACAACAAGACCGATGACGTCTGGCGCTCCATGCCGCGGATCGCAGCAGGCTCTGCTGCAATGTCTAGTGAGAACAAGACCACTGCCCTAGCCATGCGTGTACTCTACAACTTACGTCGACGTGGCACTGTCACGAGACTAGCATGAACGAGCTCACTCGCCCTTCCGAGTGGGCATATAAGCACACGTCTCGACCCATGGGAAAATGGAATGTGGCATCTAGTCCGCCTTCTGCCCGCCGCGCTGCCTACCCTGCGGACTCGTCAACGCCGTCCAAAATGTATCCGAGGACATTCCTCATGGCCGCAACGGCAAGCGCTGCCGCCATATACGGTCTCGGAGAGACTCCAGACATCGGTGTAAGTAAGCCCGGCGCCAGTCGACTCGCGGACAGCGCCAACACATGGCATCTCGACTCTCCTCTAGGTCACCTTCTACGAGCACGCAAACTTTGAGGGAATCTCCTTCGCCGTGCCTTCGCTGGGAAAATGCTGGTCGATGCCGACCCAATTGTAAGCAACTCGTGTTCACCCCGGCAAAGCCAAGCCCGTCAGGCACATGTTGACGGCGGACAAAAGGATCGATTGGTCGGACAATCGGAACCATCAGAACAGGAAGAAAACAAACGTGTCGTCCGTCAAGTTCTTCACCGACGAAGTGACGTGTCTCGTGTACTCCTAGTAAGTCGAGAGAGAGGCTGCTTTCCGCCGAGTCTTGCACGCTGCCGCTGACACGGCATCTCAGCAACCGATTGTGTCTCAACCCGCCCATGATGAATGACCTGAAGGCGAGTATCAGGAACCTGCATGACAACGAGGACGGCGATCAGATTAGGTCCGTGTTTTGCAAGCGGATTCCTTCCCAGGCGGATGAGAACCTGCCGCGCGGCCCTGATCAATCCTAGGGCATGGCGTCCTTGGTCAGTCAGGACTCGGGGGAGAAGCAAATGACGTCTGGTGCCAGAATGGTACTGTTGCAATTAAACCGGGTTCTTGCTCCAAGCCCTGTTTCCCCAGCCCTTGTCAGAGCATCAGCAGGGCCGCCTGTAAGCATGAACTATTGTTGTGTGTTGGTGTCAGCAGCGTGTTGTGGCAGAGTAAACAAAGAGTCACATGGGAGTCCTAGTAATAGCTTGATAGCGCGTTAATTTAGTAGTAACAACTATATTAGTCTCTAAACCCTCTTTCTCCTAATAGAAAACCTTTCTCTTAATATATGTAGACTCTTTAGAGACTAGTTTATAGCTAATTTAAAAGCTATATTATACTATTATATTTAAAAGTAACTATATATTATGCTTCTTTATACTTTGTTCTTAATAGAATTCTCTCTATTAGTTATAATTCTACCCCGCCACTACCATCACACTCCTTAAGGACAAACATAACTATGTCGTCAAGTCTCGGTAATCCAGAGCGATCCATTTCCATTGATGGCTTTTACTATGGGGAGAGTTCAGTTTTGGGGAAACAGGTGGACGCGTTGTTGGCAAATGGCTACTATCTCAAGACAGTCGAAGGCCCTCGATTCTGTAAAGCCCTTAACTTCGATGACGAGGTAAGATGAAGAGCAGGCAGTCACTTCTGATTGTTCTCTCACTGAGGAGATGCAGCGCATTCGGAACATTATCGAAACCCTCCTCCCAGGTTCTTCTCTAGGTTTTACCAAACCCTATGGTGCGACAGCACGCGATCTGTGTGTCCTCAACCGAACTCCTGAAGAGGCAAAAGTAATACTGGCTCAGCTCTGGTCATGCAAATCCCAGATGGTTTTCTGCTGGCGCTCACATCGCCACGTGCTTGACGCGATTGCTGCGCCTATCGCCCTATTGAAGATTCTTCCGGCCGAGCTTGAAAAAGAGGACATTGAAGGCCAAAATGTCTCCATGGAGAGTGGCGGTTGTGAGCACCCAAAGAATCAACTTACGTGTTAACTGTTAACTTTCCACAGTTCAATTCTAGACGGACGAACAGGCTTCAGGATACTTCAAGGGCGAGCGGTGATGTTTGCTTTTGAAGCGGCTGACGAACTTGTTCATTGGGCCAAGATGAAACTGCCATACCTGCCTGAATTATATAATAAAGTTCGACATATAGAAATGAACCACAAGGCTATTAGCGTCAACTTCGAATTTGTGGAACGTAGAGCTAGCGCAGTTAAATAATGGATTATGTCTGCTCAGCAGCCACTTTCATTCTTAGCATTGACCTTGTGGATAGCAGATACGATCGCAGAACTGGTTGGCGATGAAAAAGAGGTATTCATTGACTTCGCGTCCGGGATGCTCCAATGGTTAGCCGACAAACGGAGGACAGCCCGGAAGCTGCTTCAACATCCCATTTTCAATTCTTTGAATACAAAGCGTACTCGGTGGCGAGTGTAACCGTTCACGACCACATAAGGTAGGAACGATGATGTTGATGCTACTAGTATACAGTGCATTGACACTTGGTAAAGGAATCATAGCAGACTTGTACTTGAGTGCAAATAGGCACCGAAGCCTGAAATGTTTAATTGGTCGCAGGTCCCAATATATAGCCTCCCTAAACAACGGTCCTTTGTCATTTGTTTGTCTTGTTTCATTCCCCGAGCTCGTTGGAGATTCGCGACATGAAGTCAACTTTGTCAAAACTGAAGAGTTTAAGAAACACATTATCCTCGGCACTGCAAACCTACGCTGGTATCAATATTCAACCATTTTATTCTAAGCTACTGTGTTACAAAATCTGACCAACTTCACGCCTATCAAGTCTATGGGGAGCAATGAGTATTGACTTCTCAACGCTGCTACTGTTTGCCAAGCGGGCGACGTTATCATGTATGCGGGATGCGTTGTTGGTCGGCGTACATACAAATCGCTGCTAACTGAGAGCTGTGCCTACGCTCAGCTGGATGAAATGCAGAATTTGACTATATAGTCATCGGAAAACTGGTCTAGGCACTGAAGATACGGACGACTAGGTCACTGGTCAATGGTGGCTATCACCCGGGTCTCAAAAGATCGTGGACGAGCTGACGTGTTGAGACCGACAAAGAATAAAATCTGGAAAGATGGAAAAGAATCTAAGCTCCTCTATGACGTCTTCTAGTTACTCTAGCTGCAGTCCTCTGGCTCAAGAGGCACAAAACAATCAGGACAAAAGGGCCAAGTGAGAAGGCGCTCAAGCCGAGCTTTCGCACAGAACCACCATCCTGCAACAAAGGGGATATACTCTGCAGAAGTTGCGCTTCCGCTTAGTTATAAGATTGGGGGCTCCCTTTTCGTTTGAGCTGTCTTACACAGTTATCATATGTGACATGTATCAAATATATTACGGTCAAGGCCCCATATATGACTGACAGCCGTCGGAAAGGGCTAGCCGTGACCACATAATATGTACATGTATCATGCGAATATCGAGAAGAACGCTCCGTCCCTCATCCAGGTGAATAAGTGGCAGAATACGCACATACGCGGCACTGGTGGCACAACATCTGAGTCGCATTCTCCGGACTGCCTTCTCAGAGCCACTCCACCCTCAACTGCGACTCAGTCCCATGAGCATGGCATCTTTGATGGCAAGTCTAAGCAAACAAATCTCCGAGGTACTGCTAAAGTGCGGGGAAAAACTGACAGCTCACTAGACAAACAATACGAGGGACAGTGTGGCAATGAAACGGCGTCCAGCGAGCTCTATTTACGTAAGAAAGCGTCCGCCTCGGACCGGTGCTGCTGAATCTGCGAATGTGAGCTGACTGGGATATGAAATGAAAAACTGCCCAGCTCACTAGACAAACAATACGACGGGCAGTGTGGCAGTGGCAATAGAAACGGCAGCGTTCGTAACGTCGGCGAGGATACGGCATTGCCGGAAGCCTGCCTTGATTAGGCGTTGAGATGAGTTTTGACATGCGAGCAGCGTCACTAGCTATCTTCAACATTCAGAAAAGGCTACGTCGCAAGGACAATCAGTAATTCTTCATCACCTTTCAACGTCTCTGAGCATACTTTGCCCACGCGCTTCCCCAGACACGAGCTAAGTGAGGCGACCAATGACCTACCGCTGTGAGAAAATATACCACAGAATAATTGGCTTGTGGATGACCAAGCCCTCGAGGTAATGGGCAGCTGAAAAGTGAAACAATGCATTGGAACAGTCAGATGGTAATGTGGTGAAACGGCAAGTGGTTGTATGGAAGCAGTAACTTGGCTACCAAGATGGGCTACGCACCGCAAAAGGTCTGATGCCATCAATGCCATCAACTACAATCCATGGTCCACGTAGAGAGAGATCTGTAAATTCGGTCATTTGTCGCGTTGGAATCGACTATAAAGGCTTGCCAGCCATCGCCTCCGCGCCCCAGGAGATGGAAAGGCAATCCCAAGCTTCGAGCAGCCAGTCCTTCAAGATCCTTCCCAATTAGAAACTGCTCAATCCTCACGACATACAAGACCATGGTCACGGGGTATATTGCTGGTCTGTGCCGCCATCCCGTGCCCGTCTGCCTTGAACACCGCTTCTAAGATACGCTCCAGGCGCCATCGTCGAGGTCGAGGTCACGGACCATGGTGAAAGACATACCGTCACACAGGTGCTCAACTTTGCATTATTGATCGATCGACGACACGGCGAGCAGGCCGGCGACCGAATATTCGTCAAGTCTGACGTCGGTCCCGTTAGGGTACAACAGTCCCACGAAGCGTATTTGCCGTACTTGTCCTGGGATGAGCTAACATGCTTTAGCTGATGGGCTACGTAGACAAAAAAGTTGAAAATAGCGTATTGAATATCATGGTTGCAGGAATCTACGTTGGTGTTTTTGACGGGAGACTGGATAGACATATGAAGATTGATCTGAATCTGGCAGCCGCAGACGGACAGTTGAGCTTGTACAAGAAAGATAAGGCATTCTGCATGGACTATGATATTGCGGTCCTTGGCACACCCTTCAAGGAGGAGGGGCGGAAGATTGTCGCTCTGGAATAATACACACCAGCCTCTATTCGTAGCTAGCAGGAGTGGCTCGACGACGCGCTGGGCCGGTATGGAGTTGGTGGCCAACACTCGTTCTAGCGGTAGCTACTACGTCCTCGCTCTTTTCAAAAACCGTCCACTGCACTTTTCAATCTCTGTGGACCAGACGGCATCTTCACACCGTCGATCGCGTCGTTCTGCTGCGTCGTAGTGCAGTGTACATCAAATGTCACACGACACATTATAAGCAGAGTACGCAAAGGGTCACACGTAAAGCCTGGCAACTAATTTATAGCTAGGTAGGAAATACCTGGTTCTATTTGTAGAGAAATAATGCGAAGCAGCGTAGACACTGGTGTGATGACAGCAGCTTGCGCAGGATGAGTTTAAGTGATTGGAAAGAAACCAAGGCTGCGTAGTTGCCGAGTATACAGTAGGACTCGAACAGTTCAGAGAAAGCAAGACCAATAACCATGGGTCTGCTATTGATTTGTTCCGGCTCACCTTCCACTTCGACTGTTCAGGACAGCAACTTGCACAAACATGTGCCGCGCAAATTGCCTCGGGGAAAGGCGCCGCCTCGCCGGCTCGTGCAGTTGCACATGAAACAGGGCAATGAGAGGGTGAGGGGTGCTCCCGGACATTATATAAGTGCCGACGAACCCTACTTTGTTCCGAATGTAACCTGCTCCTCTTTCTCTTTGCATGTTCGACTCCGCAAGGCACCACAGCTCACCGAGTTGCGCGGCTCATTCAACCATCCAGCAACCATGGCGGCCATCAATGGCGAGTGTGATGCCAAGTTCGCCAACGTCCGGCAGCTTTTGCAGCAGCAGTTGGCTTCCGGAGACGAACTCGGTGCGTCAATCTGTGTCAGCATCAATGGAAAGACCGTCGTCGACATCTGGGGAGGACATGTCGACGCCGACCGCACCCGGCCTTGGGCAAAGGACACATTGTGCGCGGTATGGTCGACGACAAAGTGTGTGACGAACCTCGCCGCGTTGATGCTGGTTGATCGCGGCCTTCTTGACCCGGACGAAAAGGTCGCCAGGTACTGGCCAGAGTTTGCGGCGAATGGAAAAGAAAACGTCGAGGTCCGGCACTTCTTGGGCCACACGTCGGGGCTTGCGGCTTGGGAAAGCCCGGTCACGATCGAGGATATTTATGATGTGCCGAGCGCTACGGCAAGGCTGGCTCGTCAGTCGCCTTGGTGGACGCCGGGTACCGCTTCTGGATATCATCTCGTGAGCCAAGGCCACCTTGTGGCAGAGCTCGTGAGAAGGGTCAGTGGCAAGTCGGTCAAGGAATTTGTTCAAGGCGAGATCGCTGAGCCTCTCGGCGCCGACTTTCATATCGGTGCCGAAGAGAAGGATTGGGAGCGAATCTGTGATTTGATTCCGCCCCCGGCGTCGTCCACGCCCCCCGGCAAAGTTGATGTGGATGGTGTGCGGATAAAGGCGTTCAAGGGTACTCCGATTAAAGCAGAACACGCAGGAACTCCCGAGTTTCGCAAGGCGGAATTGGCTGGCATGGGTGGTTTTGGCAACGCTCGGTCGATCGCGGCCATCCTCTCAGTCATCAGTCTGGGTGGCTCTGTGGGCGGAAAACGACTTCTCTCGGAGAACACAATAGATTTGATCTTCAAAGAGCAGGCTAGTGGAAACGATTTGGTTCTCCTGGTTCCACTTACGTGGGGGATGGGATTCGCCCTCGCCAATGGATCCGTGCCGAATGGGTGGTTTCCAAAGGGCCGAATTTGCTACTGGGTTGGATGGGGAGGTTCCGCCGGTATCATGGACTTGGATAGGAAGATGACTATAGGCTATGCGCCCAACAAGATGGGCGAAGGGGGGATTGGGACCGCGCGGACCGAGGCATATGTTCGCGCGATATATTCAGCGTTGTCCGAGCCTGAGAGTTCCGACTAGACAATATGGTCAGCTAGTTGCTTGGCCAAAGGACAAGATTGTCCTTTGTGGTCCACCAAACTCAGATGTATACTCTTGTCCCGCCAACGTGTTGCATTCCAACGACAGGTGAATGAATCTACTAGGGCGAGTCAGGAATATCCAGCGGCAGCGCGTGCCAGAGTGGTCAGAGGTCATCTTGAACCGCCTAAGCAGAGCCTACCAAAAGCGCCGTGTTCCGCAGCCCGATGGGGTGGAGTTGGGTCGTGTTTGACAATAATAATCAAAGGTAGGGTGCCAGCTGGTTGGCGGAAGCCCCAGAGCGCAAGCACCATCGAGTCCAATGTAGTTCGACGTCAAGACGGCCCGGGGGGCAGTTCCGCGATCGGCCGGCGATCGGACCGGAGCATCGGAGCCCGGGCGCGGACAAGACGGCCGCTGGAGCCGGTTGAAATCACCTGCCCAGCCCAGATGGCCGCCGAGGGCCCCTCAACACATAGAAAGGCACCTGGGGTCTTCTAGCTTCACGATTGCTTGCGACAGATCCCAAAGCAATACGCAAATAGCACGCAATTACAAAAGAAGCTGGATTCTTGCTAATCGGGATTACTGGACGTTTATCGCGTGCCTGGCCAGATACTTCTGGAAGCGCCACACTCTAATATATACTCGAGCGAGAATATTTATTGGACAGAAAATCGCTGAATTTGAATAATTCGACAGTGTGGCCCGCAAAAAGGAACGCTTCACAATTGTCACTTTAATTGTAACCTATACGGAGTACTGTTGCTTGGTGTGATAGCTCTGGCCACGGGAACATTGGTACCTGTTCAAAATTTGTGGCAGAGTACGTGCTATGGGGGATGTTGCGCGATGCCTGGAAGCAGTATGGGAAAGAAGTGCCCTATTTGTCCATACGAGCACCGTATGCTGCCACTCTACGCGTAGTGCTTGATCAACCATGCCTAGTATGTCATCCAGTCGGACTTTACGAATGAGAGATGGGCACTGGTCTCATCGCAGCTCACCTAGTATCCCAAGAGACAACTACAGTGAATGGCCAATGAAACACACAGGACCAAGCGCAAGTTTAAACTCCCAAGTCTGCTTGCAGATACCTCTTCACAGTTTGAAAGTGTCCCATGACGGGCTAGACCATCTGGCAGCGTCTTTTAAAAGATCTTGAGGCACGCTTTTCTTGTAAATCATGGAAACCCCATAGCCTGGCATCCTATGCGGCAAAAAAAGGCCCAAACAAAGACAGCAAGACGGCGTTTCGCAAGGGCTTAGTATTGAAACGTACTGTCTTATTAAGAATTTCTGCTGTCCTTACGAACTCGACTTGTACAATAGACAATTCCCGTGGAATGCCAAAGCTCACCTTAAAACTCGTGCGGTGATATTAGCAAAGTTCATGTTGAAAAGAAAACTCGTGGTAAATCGAGACACAAAACAGCCGTGGCAAGAGCTCAATAGAGGACTTGAATTAGGAGCCTTATTCAACCGTAATAAATTACTCTAGTACTCAAGCTCCTCAGCCCTAGGTCTCGACATTATAGCCCCTGTGTAACTGTGTGACCAAGCGTGTGACAAGAATTGCTACAAACTGCCTCGGCTCTTCAATACATGTCGCACAAGGCTTTGGCTTGGAAGGAAAGAGGAGTTCTGTAGCAAGAGAAAAATGGCCTTGATTACGGCTAGGTTTCTGGAGCAAGAGTACACTCTGCATCTCCAGGTTTGGCACCCAGGACTGCGTTGAACAAGCCCTGGAGCTGCGCGACAAGTTAGTCGATAAACTCATGCCGGGCAATCGTCACTTGGCGGTCGAATAGAGGCCCTACTTACCATGTTCGCCGGCACTTTTTGCGCACAACACGAGGGGATTTTGAGGCTGGGCGCGCACCCTGCCCAAAATTCTGTGGTGTTTCCTGCCTCGGCCGGGACTAATACATGCGTACGTAGTTGTCAGTGAGCAACGTCGTTATGATTATCACATGACAAACACGACGCGGATGACACGTACGCGGGGTGCAATCCTCAAACTTGCTGTCAGATACCTTGCAGCAGTTACTTATGCCCTTATCACTGCATGGTTTAAGGACGTCTGTAGGTGGCGGAGTCTCGGTCTGTGGCAAGGCCGTGACGACGCCGACCAGTGTCATGGCGGTGAGCAAGATGAGCTTCATTGGGCACTGGCTATCCGTCGAAACAGCTGGGAGATTACAAGAGCCCGGCAAAAAGAGATGATGAGTGTGCGTGAGGTCGCGGAGGGGATCGGGGCGGTTGATGGCTCTTACATACTCTGGCCGTGACGGCGCGGCTGGGCCGTGGCAAGCAGAACGACTATATTGCCGCCCTTTTTGTGGTCTGTCAATGTTTCATGGCGATAATGAGCCGTGTTACGTGCATTCCATGCATGGTGTCGACGGACCAGCTTGTCTTTGGGCCCATCATCACGACAATTGCTGCGGAAGCAGCACTCTGTCATCAGCTGCTCCCTCTTCATCGCTACAGGAAAAGCAGGTATTGCAGGCAAAATTCAATCAAAACTTTTATGCTACATCTAATTCTTTAAGCCCATCATGGCTCTGAATTTTATTTCGTGTCGAAGAAACTGCGTTCAAGGGGGAGGAGGGGACGCTCGAGAACATAATAGTTCAGAAGATGGCTTGACGCCATGTCCCAAGCCGACGACGAGTGAGGCATTGAAGTGGAGCTTACATACAAAGCTTTGAGAGTGACAGGTCATAATGGGAAAGGAAACGACGGCCAAACTACCACTACAACTACAGGTGACATACTAACATCCTCCCATCAAACCGCACTCATCGGCATTGGACCAACATCATTTTTGCTTCTCAGCGGGTGATCTGTTGATAGTGTAAATCATACGCCCGACGGCTGTCAAAGGTTCGCACCAAGAGTATGAGCTTGGGATCCCAGCCATACATGACATATAGCCACCACCTCCATTATTCTGCCAATGTGACTTCGGTCATCGTCCCCAGCCACCTGTTGGAATTTCATGGCGGACTGCTGCCGCTTGCCGACCAAGGCATCGTGCACGAATGGTTCTCCGGAAATCAACAAATCTAGGACTCTAAACGGAATCTGGAGTCTGTCAGAAGATGTTCCTATGATCTCGTGGGCTGTGATCTCAAGTTCTCACGGCATAATGCAACACATGATGTTTCATGGCCACCGAGTCTGCCGAAGTGACATTGGCGACATGACCATACATCGGCAAATCGGCAAAAACTCCTGACAACATGGCACGCCTCCCTTCGCCCGATCCAAGGGGTCATTTCCATGAAAGGAGCACAAAAGCATGTTCCCAGTCCATTGGTGCGGACGACGGTGCAGTCTTATAAGTCAGATGCAGCATGAGACGAGGAGAATTCCTATCAGAGACAACGTCTCATCACACTTGTGGATGCCCTACTGGCCGCCGGACTTGTTGCGCACTTCGCTAGCCACTTCGAGTGTGTGGCAGACCTCGAGACAACAAACTGTGCCAAATCTGAGACAGGGCTAGCGCTGCCTAGTTTGGCAGGAATGATAGCCTGAGTTCCTCGTCGTGGTCAAGAGGTGTTTCGTCTCCCTTTACTCCGTGGCAAGTCAAACCTGGAACACGAACACAGCCCTGCCCACGTCATCAATCTAACAGACCAACACAGCGAGAGGCCAAGGCTAGCTTCTTTTTTTTTTTTTTTTTTTTTTTTTTTTTCGTACTTAGCGTCAATCCCCAGAAGAGCTCATGAAGGTGCCAACAGGAAAGGAACAACGCGCACCTCGTGAAGGCGATGGCCACTGATTACAGACACATAGTTGCATTTCACCGTCACATCCCAGTCGTACAATTCCCGCTATACTCACATTGCTTACAAAAGGCTTCTTGAGCGTTCGACTTGGTTAGAACGTTGCAGTGACAAAGACAGCTCCTGGGTCTTGACGGTAACACGTGAATGTTTACATCGTCATGCTCCCGGCACAGAATGACGACTCGTCAAGGCTTCAAATTCCAGCACGGTCCTTTCCACCCCTACAGCCCTCAACGGCATGAGGAAGGTGCTATGTCTCACGTTCCTGGTCATTCCAGTCTGGACCACGAGCTCCTCATCGTCTTTTCACGATGCGCAGACTTGGGCTTGATAAAAGAAAACCAGATAGCGCCAGGGATACTCTGGTGAACTTTCACCTTGGATAGTCGGGGTCCTTCTTTGTCGGCCCTGCGGTTTCAGCCTTTTATACTAGGCATCGTTCTTCCACCTCTCTCTATAGGGGTCCCACGATTGATACTCGAATATGGGCTCACCGCCATCGTTGACCGATGAGGAGGATAAGGACGACATTTCGATGTCATTTCCAGATGAAGAGAAGGATGATTTGTGGAAGGAGAGAAACCCCTTTCTGCGTCCCGCGGACCATGGCTCCCATGCCTGGTTATTCCTGGCCGCTTCGTTCATGATAGAAGGGTTGGCGCTGGGTAAGAACCCGAGCAAGTTTTGTGTTTGCCACAAAGACGTCGCTGATCAAACCATGAAGGGTTCCCCGGTGCCTATGGAGTTTTCCAAGAGTACTACAGTACACACGAGCCTTTCAAGGACACCGCAGGTCTTCCCGCGGTGGCCACCTGTGCCATGGCAAGTGAAATATCTTCCCAACGGGGGTTGCGTATCGTTCGACGTGCTGACAGTGGTCCAGGGCATCATGTACCTGGGGATGCCTATCACGATGGGAGTCCAGCGACTATACCCTCGGTTGAGTATTTGGTCACCCTTGGCAGGGGTGCTCATCATGTGCACCTCGCTGGTTGCTGCCTCGTTCTCGACCAGTGTTCCTCATCTAGTCTTGACCCAGGGCCTGTTATTCGCCATCGGCAGCTCCCTATCGTATTGTCCTTGCATCGCGTACCTGAACGAGTGGTTTGACAAGCGCAAGGGCATGGCCTACGGCATCATGTGGGCTGGCACCGGACTCTCGGGCTCGATACTCCCGTTCCTGCTGGAATACCTGCTGGGAAGGTTTGGCTTCGAGACGACGCTTCGTTTCTGCGCAGTTGGTCTTCTGCCCCTCACCCTGCCTCTGGTGTACTTCATCAAGCCCCGGATCCCGCCTCAGCTTGTGAAGAAGCACCTCAATCCCTTCAACTTCCGATTTGCCTTCAGCCAAACGTTCGTGCTACATATGCTGGCAAATATCGTTCAGGCGTTGGGATTCTTTCTCCCCAGCATATACCTACCAACGTATGCTCGGGGCGTGCTTGGCTCTGGAGAGTTTCCCGCTGCAGCCACCGTCCTACTGCTCAACCTCGCGTCGACGGTCGGATGTCCAGGCATGGGATGGCTGTCTGATAACCTGCACGTCGCAAATTGCCTGTTTATCGCGACAGCCGGGGCTTCCCTGGCCACCTTTCTCATATGGGGCTTCACAACGTCCATTGCGCTGCTGCTGACGTACTGCGGCTTCTACGGCCTCTTCGCAGGGTCCTACACATCTGCCTGGACAGGGCTAATGCGCCAAGTCACGACAGAAAAGAGCACCACCTCCAAAGAGACCGATCCCGTCATGGTCATGGCGGTACTTGCGGCCGGCAGAGGCATCGGAAGCGTCCTGTCAGGGCCTCTAAGTCAGGCTCTTGTTGACCACACGCTGTGGAAAGGAGAGGCGTATGCGGCCTACGGCACCGGCTACGGACCCTTGATCGTCTTCACTGGAGTCACGGCAGCTGCGGCTGGAGTGGTGCTTCCATGGAGGTACATGGGATGGATTCGGTGAAGCAAACGGACACATGAGACGCTGTCAACTCATCCTGCACTTTGTCAGATGTGCCTGCAGCCCGCAAATTCATATACAAACATCTTGTATCTACACCAGGATTGGATGAGAAAGAGCACGGCAACGGAGCAGTTTTGAACACATGGCGAGAGATTGCGGACTACCACAGAGCACATATACGACGAATAAAGAGACGGGTGGAACATTTCCTGTATTCTGTTGACAACCACATGGCCTTGACAAAATCTTGCAGATGCGAAAGACTCTGATTAGGCATTGAAAGTATATTCATATTTTCGTCTCACGCGGTGTGATTATTAATCTTACAATTTGCATCCCTTCCATTCGACCCGCGTGATAGTATTACCATAATAAAGCGGCAAGGATACTACTGGCTATCTCGCCAATCACCTAGATTACCCATCGTCGTCGTTGGTAGAGGTTGTATGAGTTATTGAGGTCCGGTCTCCCTGCGTCCAGCCATGTCGATGTAATATGAGCTCCGAACAAGGAAAATATATACCGTGACCTTGTGAAACTATCTCCTGATATAAAGATCCTCATTCGAATTTCATTTTCGTCCATTCCATCGGTATTTATGGGAGAGCCCGCGTAAGCTTGGAGAAGTCGAGCGTCCCCAAACCAGTCACAGGGTCCCAGCCCTGAGCCGCGGGAAAACCATCAGTACCACACCCTCGATTGTTGCCATCAGTGATGTCGCGCAAAGCGGAGCGGCCGCTGGAATAAAGGAGCGGGTTCAGGAATCCCAAGGGCGCCTTGCCCTGTCCGATGCGCTGGTCGTTGATGAGCGAAACGAGAGCGGCCCACGCGGGAGAGGAGGCTGAAGTGCCGTACGCGCCAGAGTCGACCCTGCCGTTGAGAACGATGTCGTAGCTCTCGCCAACTAGGGCCACATCGGGGTAGCCGCGTCCGTTGGGATTGTAGTAGCCGTCGTAGCTAGAGTCGAGGTGGTCCTGGGCATAGGCTGCGGTATCGGCTGACTGCCAGGACGGCGCGGAGAAGTGCCACGAGTAACCACCTCCTGTCGAGCCGTTGCCCGGAAAGCAGCAGCAACCTCGTCGCCGTTGCTGAACTGAGTGGCACCCACCGAGGTTACGTAGGGGCATGACGCGGGGAAGAGGGCATAAAAGCCGCTGTTGCAGTTTTGCTGGCCGTTGCCGCCGACGCCAAAGTCCCCCGAGGCGAAGAAGATGGAGATGCCCCTTGAGCCGGCCTTCATGAACTCGTTGCAGATACGGTCAAGGTAGTTTGAGGACAGGGCCTGCTCTTCTGCGCCGTATGAGGTAGATACGGAAGTGGGCGGGTCGGAGACAGAGTTGAGGTAGTTGCCGAAGTTGATGAGCTCGTCTGCGAACGGTTCGCGCCAGACTTGGCCTGAAACAGGACCAACCGCAAGATAGGCCACGGTGTTTGGGTAGCCGAGAGACAAGGCGATCTGAGTGTCCAAGTTGCCTTCGACTGTAGCATTGTTGGGGTTGTTTGTGAATCCGGAAATGGAAACATCTTGGAAGTTGGCTCCCTCGGCAGACGGCTGGTAGCTGCTGAGGTACTGGGCAGCGTCGTCGTGACTGACGGAATACTCGATGAAACCCGTGACTGCAAGGCTTGCTCTGCCTTGTGAGGTGTGGTCGACATTGTAGTAGCTTCGAATGCAAGAGGGAGTGATGTGTCCGGAGCTGCAACCGTTTTGCCGCTTCCTCTTTGCTGGATCTGCTTGAATTTCCTTGCTTAAGCGAGCGCCTCCATTTCGGTTGAAACCTGTAGTAGGCTGAAACGTGTCGATGTGGCGGTGAAGACCTACGGGGATAGAATACTCAGTTGTCCGTACGATGGACCGGCCCGCGGCATCGTTGATATACATGCCATACTTGGATCTAAGCATGCCTTCGGCCGGGCTGATGGGAACATTGACTTCTAGCCAGTCAGGGGTAGGCCGGCTGATGGCGTCATCCTCTATGTCGAATGAAGTCAACCAGGTCTTTACTGACTTGACGCTCTCTTCGGAAGGGGAAGTGAAAGTCTCTAGCTCGTCTTTCAAAAGCCAGTTTCCATAGTTGGCGCTTTTGGGGTTTGAAATGTCCATGAGCTTCTTCCGGAGACCGGCCATGTCTTTTTGCTTAAGCCCGATTTGCATCTTCATCATGGTATCAGGGTTGGGAATTCCGGATAACTTCCACTGGGAGGGAACATTGATTTTCTCAAAGAGGGAAGAAGGCCCGAAATCGGCAGAGGCACCAAGGCTCAGAGGTCCAGCCTCGGCGAAGCCGGCGGCAATTGATGCCACGGCGAGCGTATAAGAGGGAAGGACCATGGCGAAGACAGGCAATTGAAACGCCAGAGAACTGCCGCTGCAGTATTGCTGTCATGTTTTTCCAGGTCTCCTTGGAACATTCTCATCTCTACAATATATACAAAATTTCTGCATCGTTTGCCACATACCACTTGTCCGGACTGATATAAACTGGCCTAGCCTTCATCTTCCCGAATCGCTAAGCAGCGAAGAACTAACCCAAAAGCCTAGTCGGGCGAGGACGTTAGACCGAAATCGTCGGGCGATTGACTCGTTCAGCTCCAGCAGCACGTGCGTGGTGATGCAACGTTTTGTTGGAGGCTGTTTGTTGACAAATGGCTGTTTTGTCAATGACCTGCAATCTCACATATGGCCGAGACTCCAGAGCTAATTGGCCATGTAGATCATTTACTGCAGTGTTACTGTAATCGGCTATTTTCAAGATCTGACAGCTCAAGCAGGGATGAGATCCGCGCCACGCCCTAATTTCAAGGAAGAAGCTATAACCTCCCTTTAGCGCCACGGATGGACGCGGCGCCAGGGCGGAAAGATGGTGCCTAGTCCACCTAGTTCATGTAATCCTTACGAGAAAGATAAATCAGTCGCTTTTAGCTGGTTTGGAGTACTTTTGACGTCCGCCGCCTAAGCAGAGCAGCCGTTGGCTCCTTATTCTGGGCCTTTTCAGGCATGGACCTCAATTAATCGGTCTAGAAGCCGTATAAACGACGTCGGCATCCTGAACCAAGCGCGCATGCTGACTGTAAGAAGTAACCATGAGACAAACTTAATAACTAGCCTCTGGACTGAAGACGCGCTTGTAATCAGCCGGTAATCTACCAATCGCGCTTAAAGTTAAGCTGAGTTGTGACAGCAGCATTCACAGACGATGTAGCCTCAGCCATCGATCCGATGGTCCCCATTGACGAAGGTGGTCCGTTTTGTAGCATCTCATCGTGACGATGCGTTGGTGTTGCAATTCTTGAATTCACCATCGAAGGCGAGTCGTGGCCTCGCCTCCGCGGAGTTTCACTAGCAGTCCTTTGTCAAAGGCTAACTTCAATAGCTTCAGTTGACTTGTAACTGCCCACGTCCAAGTCTGCTCGGAAATGGGGCTCGCCACACACTAAACAGTAATCGGTTCTTGGCCACATGCGAGGAACGTTAGCCCGGTACCCATCATCGATATTGTAATGACACATCCTGCGAGGGGAATGCTGTGGTTCTCGTCTGTAATTGTCCTCACGCAGCGCCGGCTGATGGTAGAATACGATTCACTATCAGCACAGGCAATATTTTCCCGGATAGACTTCCGACGCGCTTATTGTTTGTTAGCCCTCCAAGCAATATCGACGCCACCAGCGCAATGGACCTGTAGACTAAATCACACGAGCAGGAAGCCTAAAAAACCATGGGAATGGAAGAAGGCCTTGAGAAGTCCAACCTTGAGAAGCACCCGTCTTTGGTGCAGAAACTGCCAGACATTCTACTTGGCTTATGATGCCGTGGCTGTCGGACAGCTCCTTGTTGACGCATTATGATTTAGATGTCAGACACCGTCAGAGGAGCTTGTGCTGCTGTGTGTACAGTATGGATTGCTTTTTCTCCTGTGCTATTCCCTGAAGAATTAGATTGCATTACCCAAGTCCGCGTTTTGGACAACATTGTCAGATGACGCTCTGAATGCACGTGCCGGCCGGGCTGATTGTATTCGACCCACTTTATCTGACAAAGTGGATCCGGCCTCGAGCCTCGGCCGCCATCAACGACGAACCCGAATTGAAGCCGTTTTCATATGCCAAAGTCGGGACGGCACTGGAAAGACTTAAAAGTGCAACGTCGAGCAGAGCCATCTTCCGCCGGCAGGATCAGCATTTCACTGCAGTGTGAATCACCTGGCCAAGACATTCATCATCACCGGCGCCTCGTCCGCTACCCAAGTCATCATCACAAGTTCGCAACCACCTCATCCGCTGGTCCGTATCCCGGGCCGCCAGCCAACATGACGGTCAAGGCGCGATCCCGTCAGTCGCTCACGGTTGTTGATAACCGTACTGGGAAAAGCTACGAGCTTCCAATCCAAAACAACTCCGTCTTGGCCACCGACATCAAGAAGATCAAGGCGCAGCCGCAGCACGACCGTGCCGAGGATGAGACCAGCCAGGGACTCCGAGTCTATGACCCGGCTTATATGAACACAGCTGTTGTCCAAAGCAAAATAACCTACATCAATGGTCAGGACGGAATCCTCCGATACAGAGGGTATCCCATAGAGCAACTCGTCAACAAGAGCAGTTTCCTCGAATCCGCATTCCTGCTCATCCATGGCGAGCTGCCGACCGCCTCTCAGTACCAGAGCTGGCAAGACGAGGTCATGCACCACACCTACATCCACAGCGACATTGAAGGCATGTTCAAGTCTTTCCGTTATGACTCGCACCCCATGTCCATGATGACATCTGCCTTTGCAACATTAGGTGCCTTCGCACCGGAAGCGAACCCGTCTCTCCAAGGTCAGAAGTTGTACACGGATGCTGCGACGGGAAATCTTGCCGCGCTCCAGGTCCTCGACAAGCAGATCCTCCGCATCATTGGCAAGGCGCCAACGCTCGCTGCTGCATCTTATCGTATGCGGCAGGGCCGGCCGTTCAACCGGCCCGCGCAGGGTTTGTCCTACACAGGCAATTTTCTCTACTTGCTCGACCACCTATCCGGACACGGCTACCGCCCACACCCCGTCCTCGAGAAGGCTCTGGACGCCCTGTTCATCATTCATGCCGACCACGAAGTCAACTGCTCCACGGCAACCGTCCTCCAGGTCGGGAGTTCACTCGTGGACCCCTACAGCGCCGTCGCCGCAGGATGCGCTGCCCTCTATGGCCCGTCTCACGGCGGCGCGTCCGAGAGTGCCATTCGCATGCTGATGGAGATTGGATCCCCCGAGAACGTGCCTGCCTTCATGGCCAAGGTTGAGAAGCGACAGCGCGTCCTCGTCGGATTCGGCCACCGCGTCTACAGGAACGTAGACCCGCGATCAAGGGCAATTCGGGAACTTGCAGACCAAGTCTTCGAGGTCACCGGTCGCAACAAGCTCCTCGACACCGCACTCGCTCTGGCCAAGCTTGCCGGAGAGAGTGAGTTCATGCGCAGCCGACACCTGTATCCTAATGTCGACTTTTACTCCGGTCTCATCTATCAGGCCATGGGATTCCCGCTAGAGTACGTATCGTTCTGAACTTCATTTCCCCCTGCGATTGCAAGGCTCGATGCGTCCAACGTTTCCATAAAGGGCGGTTCATGTTCTCGCGCACACGCATACGTTGGTGTATACTCTTCCTTGCTGACTGTTCACCTGCAGCTTCTACCCTGTCTTGTTCGCGGTGCCTCGATGTGTCGGCTGGCTGGCCCACTGGCGCCAACAGATGCTCAACCCGTCGGGCGTCAAGATCTGGCGGCCTAGGCAGCTGTACATCGGTGAAGGACAGAGAGACTATGTCGAGGTGGAGAAAAGAAAGCAACGGCCTGCTTCTGGAGCTTTTGATGCCCCCGCTGAAGTCAGCCACGGCGGAGACAGCAAGAGGAACAAACTGGCGACTTACATGGATGAAAGGGGTCATATACTGAAGCCGAAGCTATAAAGAAGGCTTTTTCGAAGAAGGGAAAGCTTCTTTACGCTTGCCTGGATTGATAGGGTGTTCTGAATAGTATCTTGCGTCGTATTAGTCAGGGGCAGTTTTGCTGAAATGGCTATTTGCGGAAGAGCACTTCCGGGCGTCGATTGACATTGTCATTTATAAATTCACCTCGAGCCGGCGTGCTCTGAGTTGTAGCAGAATTCATTGGCGGCCGGGATCGAGGCACGTGTCAGTGTAGGAAGCGCTTGACATGGCTTGAATGTGTTTGCATGGTTTCAGCTTTACGCCCTGTGGTGATTGGGATAGAAACAAGGCGTCTTATGCATATCCAAGACAATAGCCAGTAAGTTTACGGAAGTGGACGCCGTTTTTGTCAGGACCTAAACACGAAGTGCATTGCGTCCAGCCAGACGGTAGAAATAGGGCCAAGGGACCTACCTGTTTTGACACTTTAGCCCAGATAACGAGTTGACCTAGACCAAAAACATATGGCTGTTCTTCGTCTTATTCTCTTTCTTGATATGTCCTGTTGTGGTGAGCTTCATGTTTTCTTCTCTTTCAATCAATACTATCGCCTGCCCGGGACTGGCATCGCTGCTATTTCGTTTGGAGTTATCAAGTAAAAGTGAGCCGTGCTGCGAAGCAAGAAAGAAGGAAATTGCGAGAGCAGCCAACTACGATATTCCTGACAACTCAACAATCAAAGTCAACCGAACACTGCAAGGCTTGCAATACGAGACGTGTAGGTTTTTGAAAATTCATGTAATTTTCGCCTAGTCAATGTATTCACTGCCTCATATACAAGATAGTTGTGGACGCCTATGACCCCTGCTCTTTCTCGAATATAATGAAAAGGAGTGCGACGTAAGTTAACAGGGGTGCACGTACATAGATCATGTTTGTGAATATATATCAGGGCCACAAATTTGTAAAGGATAACAATGGACTACAAATTCAATAAATACCCATGGTAGTATTTGGCAAAATCACAGCGCTAGTAGACACCATTTGTCGCCTGGGCCTCGAAAAAAAATCATGACCACGTTCAAGTTGGCCACCATCTCCGCCGAAACGATGCTGCGGAGGATGTTGACTTTTGTCGGCTGAAAATGGGCTGGCAATGGGTCGACACCTCTCGACGTGAGTACCATGAAACATCTTGGCGGAGCGAATATTCTGGAGGTTGAAGGGGTGCGCTTTGTGGAATGTGCAGGCTGGACTGTTGATGACACTGCGTTGTTTAGACAGTCCCAACAAGGCATTCTGTACTGCACCCTCCATAACGTGCAAGCAAGTGCTGTAACAGCAGTTCCATGTGTTCCGGAGCCCGATGAGAAAGAAAGCACTTACGGCAGTGTGTAGGTTTGCAGGCGGGGAGGCGGCGTCGACGCCGGTGCACCGGCGCGTGAGGAACAACTCGGCAATCACACGACTGGTCTTGGGGAGAGAATATGGACGTATCGGAATAGCACGGTGCACACTGCGAGCGCGAGAATGACGTGCATTTCACTGCCGTTTATGTACCGAGTCGTTGTCCCATTATGCATCTATAAACGGCGGTTGAACCAACTGAAAGAACAAGAACCAGAGAAAACAGGACGCTTGTGTCTTTTACTTATTTCGAAACCACAGCCGTCTCAGGAGTCAGGATGGATGGGACATGAGTTCACGTGGAAATGTCCGACGCTCGATAGCAGTAGTGTTCAACCGCGCGTTGTAAAGTCAAAGCCGGACTGAGACAGATGTTGATTCAGCATGGACGACGGGTAGCTCTTGAATTAAGCTCAAAGCCACGCGGCAGAGTCGAGCTCTCCGCACGTGCGTCTTGGACAGGGCGTACTCGACCTGCACGGCTATTTGGGTATTGGCAACGAGAGCCTCGGTCAAGGATAACAGCGAGGTTGGTGTGCCTGAATGGGCCAGGGAGCGCAAGAACAAACACGCCGCGGGTCATTAACGCACTGCTCGTAAACGATTTCTGCAGCTTTATATTAGACGTAAAGCAAGAGCAGAGTGACAAGACGCTGACATGTCATGTCTATCGTCGTAAAGGCACACAGAACTGGGCAAGTGTCAAGGCCGTTCAAGGAAGCGTGTAGCAACCAGCGCAGTCGGGCAGCTCCCATGCTTGCGGACCATGGTACAGATGAACGGCGAAGGTTGCTCAGTTTCCGTCAGAATCCGCCCAAAATCCGGCCAGATTCCCGGAGGCATTTCGTCACCGCCACATCTGACGTGCATCGCTGCATCTCATCACAGCTGGTTGTTTCATCAGATGTTAACCAACCATGATGCCCAGTTTCAGCATATATTGCGTGCGGCTGAAGGTCAACAGGCCACTGGTTTTCAGCTGCAAGCTTCAGGGTTTACGGGAAAATAACTCGGCGCCATTGTCTGGTGTAGAGTAAAGCACATGGCTCAAGATGAAACCCCTTGGCCGAAATTGCTAGCCATCCTTGCTATTCTGCTACAGCCAACTATTGAGACGTATCGGGCAGCCATGGCATTTGACCCCTGCATCCAAGACTCGCCAGGTACAACTTGGGGCCCGGAGCTGGTTCTCGGGCCGTCGCGACGTCCCCGGTATGCAAGGATCGCGCAAGCCTCACTTTGCCTGCGCGGTGGACCAGCCATGCCGACTTGATGAATACAACAACAATTCTCCGTATGACTCTTGCTGCGGCATCGTTCTATCGGAGAATGACCACTCGAGGCGCCTGCAGTCCACGTCTCGGCTGACATGTATCCGGAGCACATTTATTGCGAATACGGGGTGAGCAACTATATTTACCAGCACACGCGCCTCGCCGGCCTTTTCTTATCTGCTTTCCCTCTTCCGCACGACTACAAGAAAGACGAGTTTTTATTGTTCCTCTCCATTCTTCCTCAGCACTCCAAAATGAACATTCGCCACCTTGCCCTGGCTACCCTGTTCGGGCCAGGGCTTTCCAGTCCGGCAAAAGACACACAAGCGAATGCGAATCTTGAAAAACGCTGCGTGGGAGAGGCTCAACGCTGCGGCAACGGAGACCCGTGCTGTTCCGCACTGTACTGTAGCTGGCCAAATGCCATTTGCACGGCTTGTGGCGGACAGGACCAAAACTGTGGCAATGCTGTCCCGTGCTGCCGGGGCCTTTATTGTAGCTGGCCAAGCTCGCGGTGTGTGCCCGTGTAATGCGAAAGGACGACGTGGTGGCAACGGCGTCCCATGCTGCGCAGGTCTGACTTGCAATGGGCTGACGTCTGTTTGCGGCTAAGGAGCTCGGTGGAAAGGAGCGCCATCTTGGGTCGAGTTGCTAGACTCTGGCGCCAGGCGCTTGGACACATGCTTGGCCGCGGGCTACTGGGATTACTGGGTGAATCGGAAGACCAACGAGTACATATGGAGTCTGGACTTCGAAGTGGTCGTCGTGTCTATGAGGGCAGGTGGATGGATGAGGATGGATCGCACGGCGGCACTACGGCTGTTGCAGATTTTGTATCCGCTGCCGGACTACACTCTACGTAGGACCTACGGACTTATCCCATGTTCGTTCCACATGTACAGGTGAATGGGAGCGAGACCGCCGTGCGTGGCGACGAGGCCGCGTGAGCCAGCAGGGCAAACAGGATGATGTCCCAGAGTCCCAGAGTCCCAGAGTCCCAGACCACAGGGGTAACCGTTAGAGTCAATGCGTATCGTGGGCTTGGTGCCGCCGAGATGGTGAGTCGTGGTGCTATCGTGGGCCTAGTCTGCCCGAACTGGGACTTGAAGCACGCGGTGATGCGCCGATCGGTCGCGGCGAACAAGACGGTTTCCGAAATGCCAGCAAGAATCAGGTGTCGATGGGACTGTTCCGGACTTCAGATGAAGTGCCCCACGAGTCCATGACGAAGCCAAACCGAGGGCATCCCGGCCAAAAAGGACCGTGGTCAGAGACGAGCGAGCCGGTCCCAGCGCCTGGAGGCCGGTCGTGGAGTAGTTGATAACGGAACCATCTTGGCAGCCTTCAATGTCACCAGGTCAAAGCGTCGCCTCGGGCGGCGTACTGACTTTGAGTTACTGGTCTGCCTTAGCCTCGTGCGACTTACTCTATGCGCCACGGACCGATGGAGCCACAGATGTTTCAACGGGGTACAGAGTCCCGAGTCCGGACTCCAGAGCAGTTGGCCCTGTTCTGCCCGCCCTCCTCATCAAGTGAATCGCGTCTCAGCCAGGCCGGTGCGCTCTACAGACTCCGGCGTAAACGGTGGGAGATGATTTATAAACGGCCGTGAGGTCCGGCGGCCGAGGCCGAAGAGGCGGCGGAAAGCCTGTCAGGTTTGTCAACCTGTCCCAGATGCCACGGCCCAGAATCGACTCATGGAGACTCGCACATTGGGAATAAACATTCCAAGGAGGCTCTTTGGTCCCAGAGCCGATCAGTCCGCTAGTCCGTAGCTCGTAGCTCGCTCCTTATAGTGCTGTTGACATGTCGAAACAACACCCCATGGCTTGAAGCCGGCTCTCAGACCTCGTAACTAGTGGCGACAAACGGGTCCGTAAGGCGCCTTGGCCAGGAAATGCGTTCCGAACGTCAAGAGGGGGATGTTGTGGGATCGCATGTGTACGCACAGATGCCAACCGCCCGACCGTCTATCAATAGACGCTTGTTCTGTTTAGACGGACCCGTGAGCCCCGGGACCGTGAACACGGCCCATGTGCTACGTCAATTTGGCGTGACTTGTCCCGCTGCCGTGGTTCAACTTCCATATAGCTTCGCGTTCTGGCCAGTATCTCTCGGCACGTTTCGCCGTCCGAACAGCATCCAACGATCCAGCTCCCCTCGCTCGTTTCGCCGCGACAAGATATCAAATGGACTTTGAGCGAAGCAGCTTGTCAGTAAAAACGGACTGAGCCAACAAAAATCCCCTTTACTCGGTGGTCTTTTCCTGGCCGTACGTCAAGTACTCGCCTCATCTTGACGGGATGTCCCAAGACTCGACAGAGGTGATGCGCCGGGCCATTGTTGAGCTCGTCAACTTGCCAAACTGTGCCGTGGGTTGCCCCCAGCAGATTTCACCGTCTTGCTGCGAGCCTTTTGCCTCCGTTTGAGACGCTGACACGAGACATTTGGCAGGCCAACTGCTATGCCCGGCTGGCGACTGCAAACAATACCTACTCCTGCAGCACTGTGTCAAACAGGGCATCGCTAGAAAAATGTCTCCTTCACGCGTGCCCGCTGCCTGAAGCCATATGTACGAATCACTGCAGTCCTTTGTAGTTGCCCGTCCCCCAGCCCTCTTGCTGACGCTGCGTTCGTTTTGTAGCCGCGAGAAACACGACGGAGATAGCGTGTCATACTCCCGCTCGGAACATCTCGAGTCCGTTTCTCGTCATCAACATTGTCCTCGGCATCGTCACCGCCGGAGTCATCTGTTTGAGGCTGGGCTACCGGTTGTTTTTCAGCCGAAAGAATGGACGCCTTGATTTCGACGACGGCTTGATCCTGTTGGCATCGCCAGTCGCCCTCGCAAGCCTAACCACCATGCTGGCCGGGCTGTGGAAGCACGGAATCGGAAGGGATGTCTGGGGCATACAGTCTGAGCAACTGGTGACCTTTGGCTTGTATCTCTACGTCATGGAGATGCTGTACCTGAGCCTTCTGGCCCTCGTCAAGCTGACCCTGTCCCTCTTTTACCTCGAGATATTCCCCAGCCCGACAATCCGCAAGCTGCTCTGGGCCACTGTCGTCTTTCACATCTGCTTTGGCCTCGCGTTTGTCTTCAAGACGACCTTCCAATGCACACCCCTCAACTACAGCTGGTTCCGGTACGACGCCGCCCACGCATCGACAACGCATGGGCACTGCGTCAACATCAATGCATCCGCGTGGGCCAACGCCATCGGCAACGTGGCAACCGACTTCTGGCTCATTGGCATACCGCTCAGCCAACTACACAAGCTTAGGCTTCATTGGAAGAAGAAGATTGGTGCTTCCATCATGTTCATGACCGGACTGTTGTACGTATGCCCCATGTTGAGCGTCGAGTCCCTGACAAGGAGCGAAATGCCCCGCCCATCAAGGGCATGGATTTTGTCAAATGCCTTCTTCCAACTCGGAACGTCGTGGCTAACCATCCTCCCTGCTTGCAGCGTTACCCTTTTCTCCATCCTCCGCCTCAACACACTTGCGAAATACGCCAACTCAACGAACCCAACCTACGACCAATACCCCGTCACTCTCTGGTCGGCAATCGAAGTAAACATCGGCCTGATCTGCACCTGCTTGCCCAGTATACGGCTTGTATTGCTGCGAATTTGGCCGCGCGTGTTCGGCATGACTACCGCCAACTCAAGCACCGGAAATTCCGCTACCGGAAACTCACAAAAGACTTCCAATCGAAGTATGTCGAGATACTCAAACAAGACACCGGCCAACAATCGTCAATACGAGCTGGACGCTGCTGCCATCCTTGATGAGACTAAGGACGCGGCTGGCAATGTCTCCAGAAGCGATTGGGGCAATGATCCGGAGGGAGGCCATGAAGACGGCGTCCAGCTGGGTCATGGCACCGCCGCCAGAAATGCTTGGGCTTGGAGTCGTGGCCAGGGCGTCTACCAGGGAGAGGACCTCCCTGTCTATCTTGAAGAGGCTCAGAGAGTAAAGTCTCAACTGTAGCATTGTCACCTGTATATAGAAAGTCTGTATAAATGAGAAAGGAAGGCAGGGTGATGAAAACGCACCTCAAGCCGAAACATAAGACAAAGACTCATCAGACCACTCTAGCTCACGGCTATGTGACCTTGTCCCAGGCAATAGTGATTGCGACTGCCTAGACCCAAAATACTGGCCGGAATTGCGTCATTGACTACAACAAGTCCCTCGATATCGCTCTCGAGCCTCGCCATCGCACCTCTGCTCGCCCATCTTGCTCGGGCTCTGTGCCTTGCCGCACCCGACTCGAGGTGATCAAGTCGAGCGCTTCCAACCCAGCAGAGACGCCGCGCGGCGTCGCGCCCCGGAAATGTTCAACGCCGTCCACAACGCGGGATCATCGGTCCACCATAACGGCATGTCTCTCTTCTTAGCAACTGTTCCCGAAGGCGTGCTCTTCCACCATGGAACCACCCGGCCGGAAAGTCCCTCGGATCCAGACCGGCTCGCTTACGAGATCGAACATGCCGAAGGGTTTACTCGGAGCTTCGGTGGTCCGCCGCGACAAACGAAGCCGCATCCGGAGCCGATGCCGGGCGGCGCAGCAAACGAGCAAAAGATAATAGGCCGCACAACACACTTGTCCGACCATGAAACTGGGTGGCTGCACGTGTACCGGACAAGTCGGCCCCTCCAATTCCTGTACGTCGATGGGATGAGCGGAGGGAAAAGTGCGAATGGAACCCCCGACACGCAGGATTATCTACTCCGTAGCGACCCGTCTTACGGAAAAGCAGAACGAGAAGCTAGTCCGACGATCGACTTGGGAGAGCGAAAACGCGCGCAGTCCCTTTGCAAGCTCTGCAAAGAATGGAACCTGCAGGGCATCATTCGAATGGAGGCCGGCTTCGAGATCATCAAGTGCAATTTCACCGACGGCATGGACCAGGTCCAGGTCTTTCGACGTCCCGGGTCGCGAGGCCGCGGCAAACTATGGGCTGAAACTCAACACTTTGAATACCTGCGCGGCGTTGCGGAGAGAAATTTTGACATTCGGTCATCGCGGACCGTCGTCGACTATTCATCCACGGTTTCGGCCTTTTTCTTCCCCGTCAACCTCGCAAATCCCGATCCCAAGCGTCCTGATCTGCCGAGACTCTCGGAAGCCAGCCATGCCGAGCTAGTTGCCCTGAAAAGAATATTTAATGGCCATTATTGAGCAGCGCCAAAACGAAGCCAGGCCCCGAACAGAAATAGACTGGCAAGTCGTCTCCGACGCCATTGTCAGCCGATATGCCGACAGGCTGGAATACCTGGTTCAGCACGTCACTTCGGTGGACGTATTAACCCTCGAAATCGACTTCCTTCTTGATGTTTACATTGATTATTCCGACCCCAATGCCCTTCTTTGCCGGATGACGTCGACCACTGCAGGGTGTTTTATCTACGGGCAATTTCTCCCGCGTCGGAGCCCGATCGCCTTATACACGCCGCCTTTGAGCAAGTCCTGTCGGAGATTTTCACGGCACTCTTTGAGGCTCGCGGGTTATTGAAGTCCCCTCACCTTGCGAGGAGACAGTCTCTGAGGACTGCCAAAAAAAAAATTACGCTCACTGATGGAACATTTGAGTTGGGCTCGCTTCAAGCGCTGCTCCGAGTGTGGTGTTGATGAGGTATGCGTCATTGCCCAGTGGCCGTTTGGCAACGAAGAGGACTATTACCATCCTCGGTGCCGGAATTCACCAGACATCCGCGGGGGTAAGAGCTACTGGCCACCATGGACGTGAGGTGCCGACGAGCTCGTTGCTCACACAGCTTCAATTTCACTGCCATGTGACTAGGAAACGCTCAGCTTTGGTAATTACGTACAATACGGACATGAAGCGAGGTCACAGCGCGAAGCAAGATGAATCAAAATATTTCAGGATCTGGCACCGGGGACGGCGAGGTGTAAAAATCAATGTCCTTCATCCAAGATGAGCCAAGACCCTGATGAATGCCTCGTCCGCTCAGGAGGCTTTCAGAAACTTGCTGTACACAGTATTGAATTTTCCCGCAAGAGACTGTTGATTCCTAGATGATTGAATGCCAAATTGGCCGCCATCTGCGGTGTAAATAGACGCCGTGTCATCTGCAAACGCCCTCTGCTGCGCCAAGCCAGAGGAATGGACGACCTGTGTTAAAACGAGACAAACCTTGCAGTCTAGCTTCTCTCCGGGCTTGAAGTTAATTCCAGGCCGCGGACAAGCAGCCATGTCCAGTCCATGGAGCACTCAGGCCTGCTTCTGATTCTCATTCTGTTTCCCAATCGTCGAAGCAGGTCCGGCGTTCGCCTGGTCCTCCTTGCTCCATTCCGCCGCTTCATCCTCTGTAACGGGACTGGGAGGTTGTGGCTTGTCCCGGGGTCTCATAACCCTTTGCGCACGCTGAATGATTCCTTGTCCCCTAAGGGTCTTTCCACCTCTAATAGGTAGTGAGTGCCATGTCTATTTGAGTTTTAAAAACCAACGGCAATAGAATGACGCAAGGGAACTGACAGTTTAGGCAGGTTGGGCAACGCCTTTTGTTGGGAACCCGAGCCGCTTGCCTTTACACCATCCTCCTTCGTGTTAGCCACTTCATTACTCTCCGTCGTGCTAGCCATTCTGAAGTATTATTGGTTCTACACGTTGCTCAAGGGAATCCCGCTGGTCGTGATTTCACGAAAGATACAAGAACATGTGAGAACTAAGATACCTAGTTCATAGAACACGCGGAAGTAGAAGTCTTCTGTCTACAGTGGCCTGAAGGCTGACACCACGCTACGTCTCAGCTGTGCTTGCGTCACTAACACTCTTCGTCGACTTCTATTTTAGCAGTCAAGTATAATGTTTCAAGCAGCAGCGCCTTATGACGAGCGACCCGTTGTCGTGCCCAGTCTAAAATCTGAACGTTGGCGAACATTGTGCCTAGAGCCCGGCATCAGTCTCCTATTGGGGAGGCGACGACGTTCAGCGAAAGAATTGTTGGTCTGTGTTTGGGTCGTCTTGTGTCGCTCGAATGACAGACAAGGCGTCAACAATTAGGACAAGCAACATCAATGTGATCAAGACCGCCACAGCGCTTAGGGAAAGCTTCACGTGTAGGTGTTTTCTTTGCTTCTAAGCCTAGAGCAATAACTTGTGGGCTCGACTAACAGATAGCTCTTAGAGACTGCTGTCCTGTGTAACACAGCCTACATCTGACAGTACAAAGCGTTAAGGGTAGGTTGTGATCTACCAAATTTATAGCAATAAGAGCCACTAGAATAACAACAGCTACAGTCTGGGCAACTAAATGGCTACTTTCTCATTTGGCGCGAAATGTATTTTCCATGATCAAGCTGTCTGGGGGTGTGGATATTGTGATTAGATGAATTTGAGAAGACTCTGCCATAAGGAGCACCTTACTGCCGAGAAATACGAGCTGAGACTCGCCTACGGCTCGTATCACATAGATGCCAGAGGCTGTTTATGTGGGCATATTAGTATGAAGCAACGTCGGCTCGGAAAGCGACTGGCAAATATTTTGCGATGGCAACAGTAAAACAAGTATCCTGCCGCAGTTCAGAACTCCCGGCAGGAAATGGCGGAGATGCGAGGCACTTTGCGTGGTTTATCAGAACGTCATTGGAGAGGCGAGTTTCACAAGGCTGTATATGAACATCCTATGTAGGCCGAACAACTCACGGTTGGGGTGACAGACGGCGGCCAAGAAACCAGGCTCTTCGCCAGGGCAATCCGCCAAGGAATTCAAGCTCTTGCCGTTCCGACAATCATGCAGAGTTGGGAGGTTTTGATGAAGCTGATAGAGTCCCAACATTCAGCTCAGATGAAAATTTGAAATTGATAACGGACGGAGTGACAAGCCCCTCCCTACCGACGTCCCCCTCTCCCTTCCCCAAAACAAAACCCTACTTCTTACCCTTCCGTTTCTTTGCCGTGCCAGGGTTCGTGAATAAGGTGCTTGGTGTAGCTTTTTCTTGTTCAGGATTACCAGACTGACTACCCCGCTCAGTATGAAGCAAATCTAAATTGGCGTCCAACTGGGCCAAATGCTGGCTCTGCAAGTCCTGGGATAAACCCGTGGACGGCGACAGGTTATCGAAATCTAAATCTGCGGGTAACTGGTCGATGGCTGAGCATATCCTCTTGAAATGAGATGGCATCCACAACTCGTAAACATTTTTAGTGAAACGATAAGCTGTCCACTTTTCTTTGCCATCTAATTCAGTAAAGTCAAATGTACGGATCGGGTGACGGTAGTACGTGGCATCTTTGCCTTTTAGTACAGGATAGTGGCCGTAGATCCTTACTGATCGGTGGTCATGAGAGATAGAAAAAGCTAGTATCTGTCGGTGGACCTCGCTTTCACGCTTTACAGCGCAGAAAAGCTCAGTGACAGCCCGTACTGCAAGAGTCATGCTGTGGGCATTCTGTCGATCAGCTACATCTAGTGCAGCGGCGCTACACTTAACCTCGCATGTTAGGAATGGGAAGTACATGTAGTATGTTGCCATAAAAAAGGACTGGTCTCCGCTGATAAAGTCGCCAATAAAAGGGGACAGCTTAGCTAGCTGGTCTTTGTTGAATGCCTCCCGTGTTAATCCCACAGAATAGTCAGGCTGGGGGCGAGTCCCTATTAATGGGATAGAGTTGTTCCAACCCTCATTCACACTTTCAGTAAGGTGCCTGAGGCTCTTGACACGGAGAGCAAGCGTCTCTGCTGAAGGGACGATTAGTCGAGAAATATCCTGAATCACCCTAGCCTCATTTTTACCCCTTAAGTTGCAGTAGGCGTGGATAAAGATAAAGTCGTCAAAAATAGTGTCCTTAGGGACTGGCTGGTCTCCTTCTAGAAGCTCTTGAATTGCACACTTGCTTGACTCTGTGATACCTAGCTCAGAAATATCCATATATGTACCTTTAGTCTGGAGGAGCAGTTCATATCGCGTGTCTCTATATGGTGCGCTCTTTTCTTCCCTCGGCCGCTGATCGCTGGGAGTCACTGACGTTGCAGAATTCGAGCGCTTACGGCCAAGGGGTGGCAGGGACTTTTTCCGGGCTAATAAATGCTCCATTTTGGATTGGAAGTATTCTTGAGGCCACTTCCCTTCTCTTGCCCAAAATTCAATAGGATTAATTTGTTCACAGGTGTTTCTGTGACGAGTCTCTTGTATTTCTGGGATCTGTTGCACAGGAAAGACTCGAGGCGATCGACGCTGCCGCTTCTGGCCGGACTCCAGATCTTGTTCAAGTACGTCAATGGGTCGTTTCGTACCGCGTTTGCCAGACGTCACAAGATCCTATCATACTTAGCTCCTAATCTCGCATAGACAACAAACATAGGGCCATACCTGTTGAGATGTGCTCTTTTTTTTTGGACATGAATGCATTCGACCGTCGCCAATGTGATTTGGAGTCTGGCGTTGTTGGGCTCGTGTTGTCCTGGGGCTTTTCGGCTTTTGAAGTCGCCTGCCTGTTTGTCCTCAGTCAACGTATCGCTGGGCGCTTCATAAAACACGAACCTTGATCTTTTGGCGCTGAAGATATGCGGCCCGCTTGGGCGACCAACTGTGCTCGAGTGCGGGCCATGATGCTGGGAAAGTAGATGCGCGGCAATGCAGTGATTTTATGTGAAAACTACTGTCTACCCTTGCTCTTGATCTGGAAGCCTACATGTAACTAACTAGTCAGTGGAGAACTAATCACGGGACTGGCCCCACTCTCGTCAAACCTGCAACGTGTACAGGCATCTGATTTGCTGGATGCCGAGGACAATGCCATGGATACTACCCCAAGAACCCTACCAAGCATATGCACGGGATCGAACGCGAATTCCACAGACAGCATCCTTTTGCGGTCCACGCCGCAACATCTGGCCTCTGGGCAATAGACCCCCTTTGCCTGCCCGCCTAGCTCAGCTACGTGAATGGGAACTTCCACTCTCTACTCTTAATTCTCTCCCTGTAGTGCTTGACTTGGATAGAACCATTGTACAGCAAGTGTGAAGTTGTCTTGCTCTTCCAAGCAGCTCATCCCGGTATGCGGGGTTGTAGGTTGGATGGCTTCGGACACAGAGGACGGGAGGTGGTTGAAAGATTGCGAGGTGTCGCCTGTCAACTATCGTCTCGGGGAGGATGTGCTGCCTAGCCGGGAGCCAAACTATGCATCCCGCCGATACTTTGCCGACACATGCTGAAGAAATATTGTGCTCATGAGGCTTTGTTGAATGTTTGTCTCCTGCAGCGGAAGTGACGGTGCTACGTTCCGTTTGCTTCGAACTCCAAATAGTACCTCAGGCTCAGCGTCTGGATTCGTTCTATAGCCGCGCGGGTCAACCCTGCAGTCGAAATCCTGCGAGCAAAAGCTGGACAGGCGTTATGATCTGGGGATGTCCACCAGACGCTTTGCCTCCGGCCTTGGCTCTGTCCCCCTCGCCTGTCTCTGGATTAAATGTAATGTTGTCTGATAATGGGGCCTCTGTTGAGTGACCACGCAACTATTTTGCTGCCTGGGTGGCAACAGCAGTATTTCGAAGGTATTAAATGTAAAGTTTCCGCTGTGTAATGAGGCAACAAGAACAGACACATGCAAAAATATACAAGAAGTGCAACCGCGCAACGCGACAAATGTGTTCCGGGCCAGTCACGAATACATCCAATTCGCGAATCACCCGGTCATATACCACTCACGCTGTGACAACTAGTTCTCAGATCAAATCCACACTTGCACTGCCTTGGTGACAAAATCATCCACTGATAAATTCATCAGTCATTTGTGATAATTTTGAAGGGTTTTCGAAATTCGCCATAACATGCAGGAGCCATCGCAGTCTTTGAACTTGACGCGTAATGCGACCACGTCCTCACCTCCTACGAATGCGCTTCCCCAACACCTCCTCCACTGGTAAATATACGCTTCCTAGATTGCCGAGGACGTGGTTCTGGTGTTTTTTCGAGCGAACTCCTGGTCCAGAACTTAGGGCCGCAAGGCGAGAGCTGCGACGTAGTCTCGGGATGAATTCCTGAGACGGCACGTCAGGCACTGGTGACTTGCTGCTGGAATTTGTGTCTTTTTTAATTTTATTTTGATGTTGATCTAGTTGTTGACTGATGCCCGTCGTCGGTCGATTTCGGGCGCGAAGGGCTCTCCTGTCTGCCGCGCCAGCTCCATTGTCGCTAGATTGCCCGCCGTGCCCATGAACATTTGACTTCGGTCTCTTGGGGCTTGATTGCACCAAAGAAGAATCTTGGAATGCGACCTTTCTCCCTTTCCGTGGCCTGCCCTCTGAAGTTGCAGATTCGGGCTCAGCTTCGGTGAAGGACACTTGCTTCACCGGCCATCCAGCAAGTTTGGTTTGGCTAGGATATGTATCATGTATGATATGGCAGTGATCTCGATCAAGTTGTTGATTTGTGTCTGTTGATGGACGATTTCGCCTGTGTAAAGCTCTCCTGTCTCTCATGCCAATCTCATTGCTGCTAGGTTGCGGGCTATGCTGTCGAGCGTTTGACTTCTGTCTCTTGGGGTCTGGCTGTGCTAAGCAGACGTCTTCGGCTAATGCCTTTCTCTTGTTCTGGGAGCTGCTCTCCAAAGTTGTCGATTTCTCTTCGGCCTCAATTTTGTGTGCCTCTTCCACCGCCCATTCCAAAAGATTAGTCTGGTTAACTACGTCCTGCTTTGCGTTGACGTAGTCAAAGGTCGCGTGAACAAAGCCAATAAGAAGATGACTACGTCGTTTAGTAAAGTCAAGAGCTTCTCGTGCTGCTGATAGCTTTTTCCTAGCCTTAGCCAACATTTGGATACGCTTTTCCTTCGGAATGCTCAGGCGATTGGGGTCCTTCTGCGTCTTCTGATAGACCTGTTTCGCCTCTGATTCTGCATTTTGTACTGCCTCCCGTGCGTGGTCTTCTTCGATTTGGCATCTTGTACCTGAAGCATGAGTACGGACGAATTCAGGAGTTTCATCATCCTTTACTACTCCCTTTCTTTTTAACTCTTCCCAGGCTTTATCGTGTTTCGATTTTAGACGCTTCATAGACGCAGCATAGCGGTCAAGCCACCAGTACTCGAAACCAAGATACTCGATCCACTCCGTTAACCTGTCCTGCTCCCTGGGACCTTCTGCTAAATGGAACGGTCGGGTGAAGCCATGTCGAGTCAACCGTGCTTTGACCGCCTCTTCGTAATCACAAAAATCTTTGCATCCAAGCTCTCGCTGGTACTGTTGCTGCCAGTTGTGGTGCCTCTGAATATAATACCATTGTTTGCCTGGCTTCTTCAAAATTGTCGGATCAGCTTCAATCTTGGCCGCCTCTTCTGCCCAGCCTACTTCTATAAAGTTACGCTTTATCTTGTCAGCAAAAGCTAAAAATCCATCTTCTTTGCCTTTGTTGCTAGTCCCTCTGTTATTTAATTGCCACTTTCGGAAATTCTGCCACCTATGCCATTGTCTTTGTATTACGTCTTGATCGTTAAAGTGATCCATCTCTGATGGTTTACTGGATCGAGGCTGCCGCCAAAACGGCTCCAGCATCTCGTGATATGCATCAGGGTCTTTTGAAACCGATTCTAGAAGGTCAATTCGGTACAGTGGGCGGCCACCGTCATTGACAAGGTTATCGTACGCTTCCATCTCTCTCTCCTTATATACCTCTAGCGGATCTTCCGGTGATTGAGTTTCTCTTTCCCTTGTACGCGGTTGGTCTAGTGATAGAGAATCTTCTCTGCTGGCTACATCACACAAAAGCGTGTCGAGCTTATCAAGGTCAAGCGGACGAGAATGAGCCGTAGGGTCGTCGGTTAATGCTCGTTGTATGAACCTAAGCCGGCGTGAGGAGATGAAATGCCTGAAAAGATAAAGAAATACACTAACTGTAGTCTCTGAGCAAGGCGATCTCGCTCTTCTTTGGACAACCTGTCCCAGTCATCAATAGGAATCTCGAACGAGCCGTCGGGGCGGCGATGTTTCTTCATAAATTCGCCAAGCTGTGAGTCGCTCAGGGCCGATACATCGTCAACGGTCATCGATCGCGAGCAAGACATTTTGCCGTGGACACTGAAGGCTTAAACCGCGCTTTGCGGTTGTAAGAGTCGGAAATTATGATGCAGACAGATGTTTGAAGACCCAAGTCTATTTCCCTCAAACGCGTCCTGGGCCTAGTCGCACTCGCTTCGGTGGGGCGGCGGGTGGTCGAGGCCTGCCCAAGTGCATAACGGTGTGCCGCACGGATAGAAGCAAACATGCACTTAACATCCAATGGCGACAGACACGTAGCCGCCGCCTCTTGGTTTGAAACGAGGTGCAGGTTTGAGGCACGATTGGTCAGGAGTGAAGAAAGGTAATTATAGTACAGTCGCGATTGTTCGCTCCAATAATAAAAGTCCACTGCCCCCTAGGCAATAACAATAGTTATCTCTTCCGCGCCTTTATCGTAACACCCCCTCATGAGACATCAAAGACACCATGGACATTGAAGACCTCATTGCTCGTGTGTACCCCAACTTCGACAAAGATCACGAGCTTTACGCGGCAACGGCAATCGAGGCTAGCCCTTTTTATGTTGCACCACAGCATCAAAGACCCAAGCGAGAGGTTCGATACGGTCGTGACGACCGGGAGACAACCGAGCCCCCGGAAGAACCAGCGGACAAAAAGACATCCGAATACGGTGGCAGACCTTTCATCGAGGTCAGGTTTAGCAAGGTCCCACGATCGTCCCATGGGCTGGTATTCGGATGCAGCAAGAAGTGCGATGTTATCCTGCCAAATCTAAAGGGTCTTAGCAACTACCACTTTAGCTTGACATTCGACGAACAGGGACGATTTATAGTAAAAGACTTACAATCTGGTATTGGAACTGAAGTTACCTACGACAACAAGGGGAAAGGTAGGCGGCGAAATTTCAGCTGGATCATTGGAGGGGACAAAACCGCGCATCGGCAAGAACACATCATCATCAAGGTAGATGACCATGTCCAGTTTGAGGTTGTTGCCGTGGAGCATGACATCACATGCAAATCGTACATCGATAATGTCAATACGTTTCGTCAGGGCAGCGCGACGGCAGAAGGTCTTATCCATGATCTAGACATCTTCCGGAGAGACACAGAGCTGCCGACGGGGGCGCATACGCCTAGTCCAGGCCCCATCTGCGTTAAAAAGAAGATTGGGAAGGGTGGATTTGGCGTCGCTATCCATTGCTGGAATGTTAGTACTGGGAACGAGTTTGTCATCAAGACCCCCTCCAAAGAGGTCATGAAGAAGATCCTCAAGCACGACGAGCATCGGAAGAGATGGAAGGAAGAAGCAGACAATATGAGAAACCTTACACACGTCAGTATTTCCTAGGTCCATACTATTGCGGCTCTAACTTTCAACAGGATCATATTGTAAAGCTTCTCGGCGTAGTTGACGAACCCCCTGAATTGCATTTGGAATATGCCCGGAGAGGCCCTTTGTCCAATTTAGAGGATATAACGATTTCCGAAAGCGTGTTGGTTCTTACGCAGTGTCTTTCGGCCTTGTCGTACCTGCATGGTGAGCAATTGGCGCATCGCGACATCTCACCAAACAATATCTTGGTTCGATCACGAGCACCATTCGACGTTGTGCTTGCGGATTTTGGGCTATGTAAGAACGCTACAGAGTTACGCACTCGGTGTGGCACTACTCCATATGCTGCACCTGAGATCTTTGAGGATATCAGGGTCGAGCGCTACTCGACAGCTGTGGACATCTGGTCCCTTGGCGTGGTTACGTGCAAGATCTTAAGAATCCTCCCAAGCTACTCCGAGCATATGCGACGCCTTGAGCGAAATATTACTGAGGTGTCGTGGTGTCATGCAGTCGTTGATTCTCTTGGGGAGCTTTACCGTCGTCGACCTGACAGCCTTAAAGGATTCTTGCTCGCAAGCATGCTAGTCATATCTCCAGAAGGACGAAATTCCGCTCAAGGTTGCTATAGGAGAGTAAAAGAGCTGCCTGGCCTCATTCTGAACACCGAAGCCTGTGACGGGGTCTCGGACGTCTTGTGGCGTGGTACCTCAACTGTCTACCGTAGCGACACCAACGCAGATGAGCAGTCAACCGTTCGACTCGGACGAGCACCGGTCGCCAATGCTGGTGACACGGTCATTGGTGAGCAGTCAGCAGGTGGCATCAGTTCAACAGACTTAAGCTCTCGTAATTATGAAACAAGGCGCAGGTCTGCTGCGCCACCACCTTCATCACGTCGGTTAGAAACTAGGTCAAATCTGAAGAGGTCAACAACAGAAACGGCTCCGCAAAGCCCTAGGTCGAAGCGTCGGAGCCGACCTTTGGTCTCGCAATTGCTTGGCTACCATGTCCCGCATCTGTGGGCTGCAGAAGTCGAAGACGAAGCAGGCGAAGCGGCGGCCTTGCTGCAGGGTTTAAGTAACGGCGTACACCAGTATGTAGGTTTTTCTTGGTACTCATATTCTGCTGCTAATGCATCCAGCTAAGACAGGATAATTTGCCTGATCCGGCATCAGAAAGCATCCCGTCGTGGCACCCATGGGATCCCGTCGAGGAGAAGCCTTTGCATTGGAACAGCTCCACGGGCTGGGTTCATTGCGATGATTTACCACCCGTTGGCCCCATTGAGCAAAATCCCTTTGGTCTGAACGGCTTGACTGAGAGCGGTCATTCCGATCACACTGCGCCAAGGACGGTACCCTGTCCACAGAATTGCCACGAGGATCAGAGGAGGTCTGACATATAACGATTCGACCAATCCAATCTCATCTTCTTTTCCTGGAGCTTACATGACCCGAGAACGTTTACAAACTTGCGCGGTACTACGTCATCCTCGCCATGTCCACGTACGTCGTGTTTCGCGTCGCGTCGATGACACGCCGGAAACGCGACTATATTATCAACGTAACGATCAACGTAATGATCGCACATGACAAGATGTTATATCTATATCTACTCCCGCGAGAACCGGTGGAGAGAGAGAGCTAACTTTTTTTTTACCAACGTATACTTAAATTGCAGCATATTAATACGTAACAGCACCCTTTTATAATACTGTGTCTTTGCTATTTATTGGCTGATAACCTCCTGGTATGTGGTGGCAAGGTCTCTCATGCCAACAACACGAGACTCGGGCCGTATCACAGCGTCTTAAGACTTAAGATGTGTCATCAAGAAGCTTCTGGAGCAACCTGATGGTCTACTTTGAAGGCGGCAGAGATGGAAAGAGGGCCTCTAGGGGAAGAGACGCTGTGCAGAGAAGTGCGACAAATCTTAGCTCCGGATGTTCAAGACGCTATACCCCGACGATATATTAAATTTAGGACAGGTTTCAAGAGAGTTGTGAGTTGGATGCTAGGCTGAGAGACTAATAGCGATGAATAGAGTAGGCAACTTTTCTTCTTTAGAAACTCTGATGGTGAATATCGTTCAACTCTAACGGCCGTGCCCAACTTGGCGGGCGTGCGATGTAGCCACAAATAGTGTGTCTAACAACTAAGCAAACAAAAATTATAAATCTAGGATACCCTAACTAACTAGACCTTAATTAGAGAATTACGAAGGTTATAGAAAGCCGACATTTAATCTTCTCTTATGTTAAGAGTTCTATTAGACTTAATACCTTATAATACCTTTATTTTAACTTTTAAGTTGCATTAAAGAAAGTAGTTAACTTAATGCTTTCTAATTAAGTTATTATTACTACCTTAAGCTATAATAACCTATATAATAGCTTTATAATAGACTCGAGCTGTAGACTTGAGTATACACAAGGCACTGTGTTAGTGCCTTGTCGGGCACTTGTGTTATAGTCTGAGCTATGCTCGACCTTAATGGAATAGATGCGCTGCAATGGATGCACTGCACTGCACGCGATAGGGGACATAAGCCCGTGCTAGAGGGTCGTGCTATTCGTGCTACCAACCCTGTCTATTCGTGCTACCACGGCTCGATTTAGCCTAGTGACTAACTGCCTACACCCCACTATACATTTTTACATACACTTGTATAGTTGCGCCTGCTTTTTAGAAATTTAATTAGTGTTTAAATTAAATCTATTATTTTTTTAACAATACAAGCCTAGGCAAGCGCTAGCAGCGCTTAAATCGCTTAAAAACGTAATTTCTAGTGTTTTTAATAAATATACACACATTTACAGGCCGTAGTTGTTCCGCTGCCCAGGCCGTCAATTGTTCCGCTGCCTCTGAGGGCGCTGCCCAGGCTCCCAAGGGGTCATCCATTGAAGCTGCAGCGACCCTGACTAATACTGCTGCTTGCTCTTGGCTTGTCTACTTGTTGATTGAGTTTGTGTGTTATTTACAGCGTCTATCGACCGCTGCCTCGACTGTATTGCGAGTCTTTATCGTTGGGCGGCGTCTTTATCGTTAGGTGGCGTCTTTATTGTCGGGCGGCTTAGAGTCATTAAAAAAGAGTTCAGGCTGTGCTTTAGGGAAGACATTAAAACTTGTAAATTTAGGTAGATAATTATTATCTATTAAAGATATAAGAAAAGCAGTATTTTAGCGTGATTGTAAGGTTTAAAATTAAGCTTAATATTATACAATTTAGCGATATTGTAGAGTTGCAAAAAGGCCGCCCGGGCGGCTGCAGCCTAATTTTTTTTGTTGTTGTAGGGCATTTTTGTAAGACTCCGTAGTTGCCAGGGCAATATATGTAAAATTATATAGCGGGGCGTGGCGGGTCAGGGTGTAGGCCTAAAATCGGGGTGGGGCGGTAGCACGAATAGATAGAGTTAGTAAGTTAGTAGCACGAATAGCACAGCCGCCCATGCTAGAGGACCTATATAGTGCTAGATTGAGCAAGCTGTAGGCAGCTTGTTCAATACGTACCCTTTTGACTCAACGGAGGGGTCCGGCACACCACTGGGATGACTGCGGCTGGCACCCGCTATGGCCCAATAGGGCCAGTCTATTACACTCATGAAGGATATCGTTATAGACCTAGTTTACTGTACTGAATTTATTACTACTACTATATTAATAGTAGTTTATTCTTAATATACTTTTATAATAGTATTACTTTTTAT